AAGCCCCTCAAGGTCGCCGGGTCCAAGGATAATCCGCTCGAGATCCCCATCTACAAAGTACAAGGCGCCGATGGCAAGGGCCACTGGTTTGGGCGCCGGAGCGTGCACGAGGGGCTTCCCTTCTCGACGTGGAAGAGAAAGCTGGCGAGCGAGATGGACGAGACGCTTGAGGCGAACCAGGCGCGGATACGGAAGGGGCGGGTCGCGGACCAGGCGGTGCGCGGGATCGGAGCAGAGCGGCTGATTGAGCGGGTGAAGGTGAAGGACGAGCAAGGGGAGAGAGATCTAGGGACTGTGAATATTTATCATGTCTCTGCGCAGTTCCCGAAGCCGACCACACCGCGGGATTTCGTGACGCTTATCATTAACTGGGAGACGGAGGTGAACGGGGGTAGCGAAGGTAGTGGTGCCGGCGCGGGCGCGGAGGCTCAGCGACGAGGCCGCAATTGGATGATGGTGTCCAAGCCATGTGAGCATCCGGATGCGCCGCCAAGACAGGGGTATATTCGGGGTCAGTATGAGTCTGTGGAGTTCGTCCGAGAAATCCCAATCAACAAGCCTCCAGCGCAGCACGTGCCGCTTGAAAAGGCTGTCTCGCCGGCCAGGAGCGAGGACAATCTGCTTCGACAAGGTACCCCTGCGGATCCAGCTGCGCAGAAAGAGGCTACTGGCGGCAAAGCTGGTCGACCAAGAGGAAAGACGGAGTCGGCGGTCCTGGAGAAACGGGATGAGACAGCCAAGCATATCGATGACCTTGACCGGGATGACGACGAAGATCCATGGCCAGTGGAGTGGATAATGGTGACCAGGAGTGATCCGGGTGGCAATATCCCTCGTTGGATGGTGGAGAAGGGGACTCCCAAGAGTATCTGCACCGATGCCGTCAAGTTTGTCGATTGGGCTTGTCGTGATACGACCACACGAGACAAGGACGAGCGTGACAGCCACGGACGAGAGTCTTCGGAGAAAACGGTAAATAGTCCGTCGCTGGACGGCGACGAAGACAGTACCGACTCGGACGACCTGGAATATGAGGAAGAAGAACATCATGGCCTGATTGCCAGTTTCGCTTATCTTCTCAACGCAGGTCTGGAGCGGTATGCGCCGAAGGCAGTCCTGGACTATCTACCACACAGCCCACACCGTACGCGCGAATCCTCAGCCCAGTACAGTTCCTCTGATGACACCGACGAGCTCAGTGAGAAAGAAACCCCATCGAACGTTGGCGCGGCGAATGCCAAGGGTGGCACAGAAGGCCTCGAAAAAGATGCCAGTACCAACGCCGCCGATGCTGCGTCACAAATCTCCCAGCCAGTCCCAACGACCAACTCGGTGCCTACGACTCCCCTCTCGGAACTCGCCCACGACAGCATCTCTCCGGTGGATGTGATCAAGATGAACAAAAAGGGCAAGCTTTCGTCTCACGAGAAGCAGCTCGCGAAGCTGGCTCAGCGCAAACGGGAGGTCGAAGCCCAACTGGAGACCATCCGGAACGAGATTCAATCACTCCAACTCGGTTCCTCGCCCGAGGTGGATACCAAGAAGGCTCGAGCTGCTGCCGCTGCTGCTGATTCTGGCGCAAGCGACCAAGCCAGCAGCAGCGCCGCCAGTACCGATCTAAAGCAGGCCGCGGTTGAAGGCGCTTCTTCATCAAGCAACAGCCACCATAAGCATAAGACTAACATCGAATCAGCGCACTTGCACAAGGTCGCATCCAGCTTATTCCAGCAGGAATCGAAACTCCTTAAGCAGCTCGGGAAAATCGAAAAGCACCAGCTCAAGGAAGCCTCCAAGATAGAAGCCCAGCAGCGCAAGAACGCCGACCGCGAGGAGAAAACGCGGTCTAGGTCTGAGACGGATGCTCTACGGCGGGAGGTAGATACGCTCAAGAAGGAGGTCGAGCGGCTGCGGTCAGAGAGGCAGAAATGGCTAGACCTGATTGCGTCGCTGCAGGCTGAGAATACCAGGTTAGTGGCACGGCAGGGTGGTATTGGCGAGGGTCAATAGTTTGCCCCTACGCCTAGCCTACTCGTGCATGGGGGAAATTTATGGAAATTTGAGTATTATGTATCACCGACGTATGTCATGGAGCATGTAAATAATAGCTCAATCATCAAATTGTATATCCTAATCAAGCTTGTAAGTACAGCAGAGGCACTGTTCCGATGATAGTTCCCAAATAACGCCATGCACCGGGTATCAAAAAGTATTCTGTGTCAATACACATATTCTGAAGAATCCCAACCTTCCATCTCAGGACATTTCCCGTGGAACGCCTTCTCTTGTCTGGGCTCGCATAGCAATCCGAGTTGTCAGAGGTCACCGTAGACCAATAGTTGTACAACCGCAGAGTCAAATCGACTCCGGCTCATGGCCCTGCGCTATCCGGAGAATCCTTCTTCGAAGGGACCTCGCCTGCTGCAATTCGAGCGACCCTGAATCCAGGGACGCACAACCCCAGTGCTGTCCAGTCCTCCCCCCCGATCCATGCCCATGATCTGGTTATTCCTGCGTCTAAACCCCCACATCACATCAGCAAACAGCGTCCCCTCAACAAGCACGGCAAACAAAACCAACCTCAGGCGGATTCCCAGCCCCGCGAACCATCTTCTCAATCATCGCAGCCCGCACCTTCTCCTTCGCCTCGCCCATTCCCAGCGCCATGTACGACAGCAGCGGCGGGTGCCCGATATACGACGCATAGCTGTCGCGGATGATGTTGGATTCCCATTCGTACTTGGTTGTGTCAGCGTGGCCGGTACCGACGTGGCGGGCCTGCAGGGCTTCGAGGTTTTGGAGGGTGCGGAGTTTGTCGGCCATTTTTTATTATCCGTAGGATGGGTATTTTGTGATGGAGGGTGTCTGTGGTTGTTGTATGTTGAAGCTGGGAAGGAATTTCGGTTGGGGAGTTGTTACTGATACAACAGACATGGTATATCACGTGATATACGCGGAAATTGCAATGGATGTGAGTGGTACAAACCATCGATGAAGATTTGATTCCCGGATAGTGGCGTGGGATGATTTTTGATGGATTGTTTGACTGCAGAGTCGTCACTGCCATCCCGTATCGCCTCCTTGGTGCATGCGCATTTTGATGGCCTGCCTGTTCGCAGCAAGCCTACCATCTACCCGGATGGGTCGAGAGAATGGATCCCCATGTCCGGGATCGTGGTTGTAAAAGGTTAACCTTGTGGTGTCTCTGATAATTGTGGTCACTGGCTGATATCCAAGTAGGGGAAAGTACTGTTTTTGAGAAATTAACCTGTGTAGCAGTCACGTATGTATCCGCTTTGGTCTCTATTCATGCTTAGAATGATATTTTAACTGTTTAATAGTACTGGTGCAAAATGCCTTCCAGCCTCTCAGGTATCCAAAGGCAGAGGCCTGGTGCTACATGACTGGCACGCGGAGGTTCTGGCCCTCCGCTCATTCAACTACTGGCTCCTGTCTGAATGCCACAGCCTGCTAGCCCAGGAACAGCATGCAAGGTCGTCAAGCTCAGCTAATACACCAGGAGCAGCATCTTCACCTTTCATCCGCCGGAGGAAACCCACTGAAACGTCCAACACAGCGCAATCAGAACCAGCCCCCGCCTGGTCCCCTTTCGAACTCCAACCCGACATCGAAATCTACATGTACTGCACCTGCGCCCCCTGCGGCGACGCAAGCATGGAGCTCTGCATGGCCGCACAAGACGACCCAAGCCCCTGGGAGGTCATTGCACCGGGACCCGAGCGCACCGAGTCGCCTCGCCCAGGCGCTGGCCCAGAACTCCTAGATGGCCGGGGCTACTTCTCCCGCCTCGGCGTCGTGCGGCGCAAGCCGGCGCGCGCGGACGCCGAAGCAACCCTCAGCAAGTCGTGCTCGGACAAGCTCGCGCTGCGGCAGGTGTCGTCGCTCCTATCGTACGAGGCGAGTCTGCTCGTTGCACCGACTCGGAACGCGTACATCGAGGGTCTGATTCTGCCTGAAGAGGAGATAAGCCGGGTTGGCTTCGAGCGGTGTTTCAGCGCCACGGGGCGGATGAAGACGCTGAATGAGAGGTCCTGGCCGGCGCGTGATGGTAGCGTAGGACAGTACGGATACGGCTTCTATCCCTTTCGGGTTCTCTCTGTTCCGAATGACCTGATCGAGGCGATCTGGCCGTTCCGGAAGCCGAAGCCCACGTCAGCAGAGGCTACGACGCAAGCGCAGACACCGCCGAAGAAGAATAAGCCGGGGAATGTATCGGCCGTATGGGTGGCCGCCCCCTCACTGCCTCATCCGTGCCCCATTGCATCGGAAAACGGCTCCAAATCCTTGCCGGTGCTGCGGGGCTCGAGGACGGGCTTGTACGAAACCATCATCAACGGGGTGAAGCAGGGGAATCGCGCGGCGTCCGTTACGCCTCGGGGTGCTTCTGCGTTGTCGCGCGCGAAGCTCTGGGGCTTGCTGCGCGATATGGTGCGGTCCTCATGCTCGGGGGATTGTACGCTGGAGGTTGTTGATGGGGAAATTGGGTTGCATGCGGGCAATGTCCCAGAAGCGGGGTCATCTCTGCAGGATACGGCGCTATGTCAATTGATTGCAGCGTCCACGTATGAGCAGTTTAAGAAGACGCCAGTGGCATTGACGCCGTCCGTCAAAGCACGGAAGGATGCCATTCGAGAGGCTAAGGAGGCCTTGAAAGGATGGATCCGTAATGAAGACGATGAACAATGGGGACTGGACGTTCTCGTTGATCCTAAAAAGCGCAAAGCGCTGAACTGATTCTATAAGTATCATACACAGAACGAACATATGGGTGATAACATGCGAGGGACATCGATCACTTGCAGGGACCGTCGGAGGCCCTTGCAGAAGTATAATCCCTTGGCAACATCGACCCATTATTACAAACTTTTATCCAACATTATTATGTATTACATCATGACGACAGTTGATAGTCCCAGAGAGAAACGGTCTCGCCATCTGACTCAGCCAGGCAGACAAGTAATCAAAGGTCGAAGGCTGCATCATTAGTAGATGCCAGGGATGATTCTGCTGCGTACCAGAGATGTATAGCGGTCCCAGTCGGCACCATACTTCCGCTTGCACTTCTCCTCATCACGTCTCTCGCGGTGAAGAAGCAGGACACCGAAGTAGATCATGTAAAAGTACGTAAAAACCATTCCCCAGCCGCGAGATTCGGGAGTCTGGACAGCCTGCTTCTGCATCTCACCAGAAGCCGGGTTGATACTCTCAATAATCGCATACCCTGCAACGCCGGTTGGGAGGCAGTAGGACCAAGACATGATCCAGTCGCCAAGGTAGTTGATGTGACGTGCGCAACCCCACCAGCCGGAAATGAGCAGCTTCGAGCCGGTCTTCGTCTCGATATACTTGAGGTGCTTCACGCGGGGGTCATTTGGATCGGTGCGGAAGCGGTTTTTCTGGTTGTTGGCACCACGGAAAATGGAATATCCTGCGGCTGTGACGGCAAACACGATGAGGATCCCACTCAGGCCGAGCTCAGAGGGGTAGACACTGAGGTATCTGGTTTGGAAATTGTAGAGGAACGGAACCCAAACCATGTCGCCGAAGGAGAGCATGAAACCGAAGCCGTCCATGATAACGTCCATGGTCGTCAAAAGAGCTGGTTCCATGTAAAGACCATCAAGGACGTAGAAGGCTTGGAACGCAGTCGTCAAGACGATCGAATCGGTGATGTAGCCGTATGTGCGGTATTGATGGGCGATATTCGACAAATTCAGGATGATCCATCCAAGCAAGCCAGGTCTCATCTCACACCACACCTTGATGTCAATCGTCCGCGCTGTCTCACTCACGAACGGAATGGGTAGCTTGATTCGGGGGTTAAGCTCCCGGCCAATGAAGAAGTCATACAGGACGTTGCCTGTGTGTCCGCCAGGAGCCAGTTGCCGACGCTCAGGGTTCAGTTGACCAGGAGCGGGAACCGAGAAACTTCTGAGGTAAACGAAGATCGCGATGACCGTGCAGATGACCAGGTTCGCAGTGATCACCTGCAGATAGTTATCCCAGAGGAAAGTCCATACCGCGAACTCCGCGCCGTACAAGTACGTGCCCACCGCACAGCCTGACAGGATCAAGACAGCCGACAGGAATGCTGCGAATAATCGTTAGGACATACCGACCGTAAGTGCCAGGGAGCGCGAGAGGTCGTTACCATTGAATTTGTACTGGAGTCTCCCTCCACAAGCCAGCTCGGTACCTTCAACCTCTGTGCCAGGGAGGAACACCTGCATGAGCAGACTTAGGAAATAATAGCTCAGAACCCACAGGGTAACCTGAGTATCATAGAAAGCTTTGATTCCGTCCTCCGGCCAACCGACCTCCTCTTTCAGCTTATCAATTGACAGTGTCGATGGGTGCAGAAGCGACGGCGCAGGACAACCGGATACATCGTTGCAGAGGAAGGTGAACGCGTAGAGCAGACAGGGAAGGCCGAAGATGATTCCAAAAGCTCCGATACTTTGAAAAACAGCTTATTAGCTTGACAAGTTTATAATCTTGCAATGGTTGCGACAACGTACGGGCCTTGAAACTCATAACCGCGTTTCTCTGGAACGGGTTGAATTGGAACCTTTGCCTTCTCTGATTTCTTTGACGCCATTGTCCACGTCGTCTCACGTCAAGAGCAGGTTGAAAACAAGCAATTGGTCCTCTGTGTCGCAGAGACGATCCAGGGGGGCTTGAGGTTTAAATAGAATTTCAGGACAACCCCAGATAGTGCGGATCAGCGATCGGACGCAGCCCACCGTACCGATCATCGACGTATGAGGCCGGATAAGCAGAAGCCGATAGCTGCCTTCAACGTCTTGGCGCTTGAGACGATACTATTCGTAGAATTGACTAACTGCAGCGCAATCCCGAGAATAATAACGCATAAAATGATTCTGAGACCTAGGCAACCTAGTTTCACGGTCTAAGCCTTACCAAAGGCGGGATGGAATGGCTTATGGGAGCTTCTCCGCACGTGGAGATTGGAGAATTGCGACCGAAATGCCATTTGGCCCGTATTACGCATCTTCATTGCGATTCAACCTCTCGTGTCTCTCTTTCATCCTCTTTTAGCTCGTCTTTTCAATTTTCTATTGTCGGTTTCGGACACGCTCCTTTTTACAATTCCTCTATCCTTGTTGTCGCATCGGTCCACCAAGATACCGCTTGTTTTCCGTCCCACGGGGATTGACTCCTCAAGATGAAGTCGCTGGCTGGCTCATTCCTAGGACTCCTTTTCCTTTTATCAGCTCCTGTTACATCAGTATACGCTGCCTCTGAACCTACGGGCAAGAAAGACGGACTCTCTCCCTGTGTTGCACGCTCTCCGTCTACCGGCCTCTATTACGATCTGAATGCGATCTCGGTATCTCGTCCGGATCCCTCGGACAGCAAGAAAAGCAGCAAGAACGCGCCGAAAGAAAGCTGGCACGCCAAGGGCCATGACTACCATGCCAATTTTACACTCAATATCTGTGCTCCCGTCATCGAAGACATAAAGGATGTGGTGGGGGTAGAGCGCGACAGGTGGAAGAATATCAGCGCCTATTATGAGAAGGAGGGGAAGATATACTCCATTGGGTAGGTTTGATGAACATACAGTGCGATGTGCGATGTGTCGGCTGATCGTATTGTATAGAGAACAAGCCACGCAACCATTCTTCCGCGGCCGCAAGCTTGTGTTGAATTACACTAATGGCTCACCTTGTCCTGGCGAGCGGATCGGACATAGTTCGCGGAATAAGTCGACGATCATGTCCTTTCTGTGCGATCGTGATGCTCTTTCCCACCAGGCCATTGCGTCTTTCGTCGGCACCATGGATCAGTGCACATACTTCTTTGAGGTTCGAAGCTCGGCCGCTTGTGGCAGCATCGGTCACGCCAACGGTGAAGGCCTGGGGCCGGCGGGTGTTTTCGGCGTGATGTAAGTCTATGTCATTTTCGCTTTGCCGGACAGAATACTAATACTGCCGATCCTTAGTGCCCTGATTGCTGTCGCCGCGTACTTGGTTGGTGGTTGTGCCTATCAGCGAACAGTCATGCACCAGAGAGGATGGAGACAATGTCCAAACTATAGTCTGTGGGCGGGCATCTTTGATTTTGTAAAAGTGAGTGTCTTGGCTTTGATACCTTTCCGGTCATCTCGCATTCGATCTAGACGTGGCGTCCCGAGTCCCTATAAGGAGTTTGGTAGTCCGAGGTTGCCCATTTCCCGGGCGGATTGACCTCTGCTTTGGCTGGTCTGAGACTCGGGTGCAGTGCGAAGGCGATGCACTCTTTTCCATTTCCATACCGTCTTTCGATAATTTCCTACTTCATCTGAGTCAAGCATGTGTCTTGGTTTTGTCAATCCCATAGTTTATATAGATCTATCTCTATGCATTGTGGCATCACTCCATGTCATTACTGATCAGTTCCTTTTGCAACCGCTATCCTTCTTGAAAATAAGCTGACCTATCACCTCACTCTCCCATATAGGACATGTTCGTCATCCTCTTCTCCTCCCTGGGCCGTCTATTCCGTGTCAGGCGTTCCCCTACGCTCGGACATGGCCGCGCAAATGGTTCAAGCGGCGGTTTCATCGGGGCGATCGGCGGCCGTCGAGGACGCGACAACTATGCCTCCGACGTCGACGCGGAAAACCGTCTCATAGACCAATTGGACGAGACCTGGGATGATTGATGAACGAGATGTTGCTCTGTTTCCTTGAGATTTATGATGTTGGTCGATATATTTCTTACCTGCCTCCTGTCGTACAATATGAGCATGTCCTAAAATCTGGTTATGACGGTTTCTGTTGCTGCTTGTCGTTAAGACCTCTTGTATTGGAAGATTCGGCTTGTGCCATGACGAGTCTGGTAGATGCTGCCGTTGTTTGTTTCAGTATATATCTTTCGCAGCTTGGTATATAACCATCCATCGGTGCGGGTATAACTAGCAGGCTGCTGTTGCGTCATTGTATAACAAAGAACAATGGGATGGCCTCTTTAACACCATTCGACTCATTTCGCATGCACATCTTTGGATAGGAGTTGGAAAAAATATGCCGGAAAAGCCAGGATGAGGCGCTGCTGCAGAAGGCCTTGTTGACCAGGCGCAGAGAGGCTAAGTCTTGTCGGCTTCTAGAGATGGAGTAACGCCTAGCATCCTCTGTCAGATGCAAGAATCCGTAGTATACATTCCTCTAAACATAATATATAATATGTCAGAAGCATTTGAAACGTCGAGCAAAAGATAACACAAAGGTAGGTCTTACATGATCATATATCTCCATGGGAATTTGCATTTTGATTGTGCCCCTTCTAAACACTGAGCGACTTCTGGGGTTTGCGTTAGGAGCTTGTTCTATATGAAATCTGCTGTTGCTACTAGTTACGACTAATGAGAGGAGAAGTTGTTCTAATGCAGCGCGTCGAAGTCCCTTGAAGCCTCCAGGAAAATTATCCGAGACTTTCCCTAATACAGTACGGCACCTAGCAGGGGTCTGGATAAGAGAGAATCGCAGAGCATAGATGCCTCTTTGAGCGGAGTGATCTCTTGAAGCAATTGGGCGTTATAGCAAAGCGAGCGCAAGCTAGCTTGTAGGTAATGTTTCCAACAGTAATAGCTTATAAACTAGCTAATGGCCAAAATACCAACAACTAGCATCATTGGTCTAGTGGTAGAATTCGTCGTTGCCATCGACGAGGCCCGTGTTCGATTCACGGATGATGCAAGTCATATTTCTTTTTGCATTCCTACATACCCACAATCGCAACATCTGATTGTCTCTCTAAAGACAGAGCCACCTCATCAAGATCTTGTCATTATTTTTTGCTATGTATCATGTTTGATCCAAAACCGTCCGTTTCGAACAGCCGCTGCTTGCGATACTCCGTCAACATGTCTGACACTCTTACCTACAAATGTGGTCTGTAAGTGGTCAAAAAACTGGTAGCTTCTCTTTGATTGAGCGTGTCATCCTTAGTGCAGGGGCCATGCTAATCTTCTCTGTATCGTTTCAAATTGACCAAATGCCCGAAGGCAATCGGGAAGACATTAGAATGAACAATAAGGGAACTCCCGGTGGCATGATTGGTCGGTAGGCGGGTCAGCGTGGCAATGAGGTTAGACGACAGAGACAAAGAAAGTAATGTATCAATATATAGCAGGGATATACAACTTAGTTACACAAAACAGTTCAGCATACAGAGAACATAGAAGTCGTGAACTTCCCATCCTTTTCCTAGACACCAAATTCGCCCAACCTGAGCCGCTTGCAAAGAGAAAAATAAAAGAAACGGTAGCAATACTCATCACCGATGGGACCCTTGATTCATTCCCGTCATTCCCAGATCATACCCTCCCAGTGGTATGCCAGTACTGCCAAACGCGGACAAGTCTGCAGTGGCATTTTCGCTACCGGGAACGGAAGCCGTAGGGTTGGGATCAAGGCCAACACCTGCACCGACAGGGTCGAGATTGAAAGGTAAAAACCAGGCGCTCGGTTGATAGTACTCTCCGGTGCCCGACGGGGCGTTGGGGTCCATGTGGCCGGTGAAGAGCGCAGCAGAAGTGTCCTGGCTTGTATGGGGGACTGCCCCACCAGGGGTGGAAATTCCTGGGGTATCAACAGTCGCAAAAGCGGCAGAGGGAGGGTCAATCCCTGCAAAGGACCCATAGACAAACTGCCGATCCAACTGCGGCAGTTGATCCTGGGGAATGCTGAAGTCGAATCCGGTTGGCCCTAAGGATGTTGTTCGGCCCTGTTGATCGTACATTGTCGGATGCGGGAAGCCCGTGCCAGATGTGCCTAACATCCCAGGAGCATTGTTCATGTTCACGTCGACCACCGGTTGCGGAGGGATTGCCTGGTCTGGAGGGGCAATACTCTTGCTGTCTCTTCTTGGATGTGGCCGACGGGGAGTGCTGTGCTGTGGCACGGATGGAGATAGGCTTGCGAAGAAATCTTCCACGCTTTGGAGCTCGGGCTTTTGGCCCATCACCCCCTCATCGGCACGGTCTTTTTGCCTGGCGTCAGGATCTTCCCAGTGAAGTCTTGAAACACCATGAGGATATTTATCGAACCAGTCGCCATACTGGAACATGGGGGTGAGCTGATCGCCGTTCTGGGTGACGACGGTCCCCTTGATAGCCGCATCTGCGAACTGCCGATAACGATCTTTGGCACTCTCAACCATGTAGTGAAACATCCCCCAATACTTCTTCATTTTATTGAGGTACCGATAGGTGTGCCGCAAGTTTTCTTTCGACCGAGCTTCCAATTGTGCGTTCTTCGAGAAGATGCCCCAAATGTGCACCGTACTCGCCGAGTAAGCAGAATATCCCGCAAACGGCGCCGTAAGAGGATAGGCCGACGCGCGGTCTATTAATACGGAAATGTGGTGTGCTGCCTCGACAGCGGCGCGCCCAGCGTTACTGAGGAACGCTTTGGGCATATCCTTGGGAGGCCGCCCTCCAGGAGAAAGCGGAATGGCGAATTGATTCAAAAATAACATGTTCTGGTGAATAATGATATGGAGATAGAGGAACTGGTTGGCGATCTTGTCCGCAGCGTGGACCTGTAAATTTTCAAATGTGAACGCCAAATGACTGGGCAGGGTGGCAGAGAAGTCCTCGATTTGCCGTTTTAATTTCATATAACCCGATTCGGGCGACCATAGAGGATGCGGGTCCTTTCTCTTCCCACCAAGATTGAGATAATCGACTATGCGACCCCATATCACCACAGCTCGAATGATATAGGCTGACACGCCCATGTTATCCTTGGCATTGGACAATTGACCGACATCATCCGGAACGGGGTTTGGAATGTTCCCTTCCAGGTCCTCCGTTGGCCCCGGTATCTCCAATTGAAATGAAGACTCCTTGATAGGAAGCTGGATCTGCAGAAACTTCTCGTTTCCAATAGGTGGACGCTGACTACCAGACGAGTTGTAGCGATCCATCAAGTAACATGCCCACATCGTACGTCTCCTGATCTCCCGATCCGTAAAGCTCAGCTGTGCCCCATTGCCTGAACCTTGATTCAGTAGAGGATCATAGTCTAACTCCCTGTGAAGCTGTAAAGCGTAAGCCATGCGGAGTGCCTGACCACCAAAAGACCAGCTCCGCCCACCATGGCAGGTTCCGAACTCGTGAAGGCCCAATAGTAGAAAAACAGTCAGAATGGTTATACTCGGTTCATCATGTCGGCTCAACGCGATGGCAGCGGCGGGATTTGCCCAATTCTCGCCACGGAGGAAAGGTGGATCTGAGCTAAGCTGCGGGTGTGTCGAAAATCGTGCCGAAACAGCACAAACGGCCAGGATCAGTACGGGCGGAACTGTCCTCGCTTTCAGTCGCCGCATGAAGCTGGGCTTATGAAGTAGGAGGTATGACTGCCCGTATACACAATCGAAGAAGACCTCCGCCAGATGTTCCTGAATCTCCAGTGACGGTAGAAACTCGGCGCCTTCTGTCGAAAGACCCATTGCATCGTTGCCCTTGCCCTCGCGGCGCATGGGAAATGTGTCTTGTGGTGGTCTCCGATCCTCATGCGCCCATTCTTCCATTTCCGCCGCAAAAGCTTCGTCCGCCGATCGCTTCTTTTGTGTTTTGGATGCCTGACCCGGTTGGGGCGGTCGGACAACTGACCTACCGATTGCGGCCATATCCCGGGGCTCGTCTTTCGGAATAGTCTTGATAACTCTATCCTCCATGCGCTTCAACCGCTTATCCAGCATCGCCATGTAATCCGTCCGAGGAGCCGCCTTCCTCGTGGTAACCTTGTAGACACATGGAATTCGAGAGCGAGAGCAATGCTTGCATGCGGGCTTCTCCCCCGAGCACCGGATCTTCTTCCTTCGACACGCAATGCACGCCAAGGGTAGACGTTTCCGCTCCTTTCCAGCCTTGGTTTTCATCTCGCTCCATGGAGGCTTCCCGTCAGGGCCGTTTTCGTTGACATTATGGGCATCGTCGCGCTGGGTAGCATGAGCTCCGTCCTGTGCAGTTGTTGGGTCTCCTGCCGTCTGGACGCTCCCTGCATCTCGCGAGCTGGCCCGACTTTGGGTGTCGAAATCCTCCGGAATCGCGCTGTCCTCGTGGGGCAAAGTCGGGCCAGCAGAAGAGACCATGGGAGACTCCATGGAGTCGGGTGGGATCATGACGGGTGATGTAGCCCCAGCAGCAAGGCTCGGGACATTGTTTGTGTAGGTAGCAGCGAGAGCAATGAGGCCAGCCGAAGGATAGTGGTAGCTTTCTGGAGAGATTCCTTGGAATTGGATGGGATTGCGGGATAGGCGGTAGATGCTGGTGGGTATGGGGAAGGGCCGGGCTTGGCATCTGGCCGCTTCCGATTATTAATCAGATTGATACCCTCGAAAGAACAGCTCTTGATACTACTGGGTATAGAATGAATGATACTGATGAATGAAATGAACAGGAGCAGCGAGAGAGTTGTCCCTGCTCCCAGGAAGTGATTCTGGAAACTATACGTTCGCAGCTGGGCCGCTCTGGGGCAATCCAAACCGCAACAAGTAACCGCTAATCGGACGGACCTAAAAAGGGCTTACTAGACATGGATGTCGTCTACTGAGATACACCATGGTGGAGCCTAATATCAATGGGCATTCTTCTCATACTATACCATATGTGACACCCGATATGAATCATATGACACCTCCACAGATAGGCGGAGTCCCTAAGTTCTACAATATAGCCTGAATAGAGCCGGGATGGTCTCTGAAGCAACAGCTCCACCTTTCGACCCCTATTGTATGTACCGTCCTCGAAGTCTCAACTGAAGCCAGCGGCTGCTACGGGTCATGTATCGAACGTCAATCCTATAGAGCGTTGGGTCTCACGACTTCGTTCGCGAGGCGGGTACGGAAGTCTCAAGAGCGGCCAAGATCTCCTTCCCCAAGGTATATATATTATAGCTAGGAAAAGCAATCCAGAGTCCACTGTCTGCTATTAGAACCGGTACAAGACGGAGAATTAGGGACCAGACTTACTTAGGAATGACCCACAGAGTAATCAATGTGAAAGCATCATTGTGTCCAATGTTGGCAAATCCGGAGAAAGCCTCGTTGAGCCCTGATATCTCATTAGCTGGTTATAGACTGACGGACACCATTCAACTCACAGTAAAGGACCGTTTTACTCAAAGTCATGATGGAGGCGCTGAAGGCTACCAGGAGCGCCGTCGCTCCAGTGCGCCCAGACACGACTTTGTCGCCCTTCAACATCCACAACAAACCCTTGCGAGTCTTGCGCTGTTTTCCACGTCCGCCTGTAGTTTTTGTCGCTCCATATTTATAGATGATGAAGAGGTAGTACAGATAAGCCGCAGATTCCACAAGGTTCAATACGGTCTGCGCGACGGTAAAGCCATTCCGAGCGTTGAACGCCGGCCAGCCATAGATATAGTCGATTGTCCCATAGAGTGCGTACGGGGTCCAGACAGGCGAATGCAGCTTGTGACCTGGCATGGAATGCGGTCGCAACAACACGTAACCTGAATCCCATAGGACCAAGGGAATTGAGATCAGAAGCCACAAGGTCACCGCCGTTGATGGGGTGTGCACCCATCGTCTAGTGACAGTTCCGTTGACTGACGGTCCCGGGGATTTCGACCGGGACCTGGCACGCGATGGCGATGGGAAATCGCGGGGATGATGTCTAGTAGAAACCATATCTGTCGCAGTTGTCTAGGAGGGTGTATGGTAGCACATACAGGAATCGCTTTGGTTCGTGTGATTAGTATTCAAAGTTGTTGTTAATGATTTCTTAAGAAGCGAGAAGTACTATAGTCCAGAAGGATGTCGCGACGCGAGGAATGCGGAGTTTTGTGGCATGGGCCGCATGGCGATGGGCCGACTGACGGGTGGTGACGTCGTGAAGACGACTGTGTCTGGGTGCGTAGGAAGTTCCCACTGAATTGCAGGTTGCCATAAGGCATTACGCATTATGATACCATGATATCTCAGTGCTGTCAACGAACGCATCAGGTATAATGATTCAAGCTTCCCTATGGTATTTAGCAGACTAAAAGAAGAAAGTCAGTAGTCAGTTCAATAGTCGCAGTTTGGTCAGCCTAGATTTATTGGCGGGTTACGACCGCGTCCTCTCCGAATGAAGACTGAGAACTGTCATAGAAGACCGGACTCGTTGTCAAGACAAGCAATGGCAGAGATGCCCTGATGATTTATCTATCTAGATAGATATATCTTATTCTTGCCCGATGTTTCAGGCGTGCACTGGGGGCTAACAGATCCGTCTGGACGGCGATCATAGTGGATCCAACAAGCGACGATCACGTGCACCAGTCCCGCCCACTGATTGATGGACCCGATCCAGATCCCCCAACACAAGATAAACCGGTTGATCCTCCTAATCATCCATCTGCAGTGGAGGCTATGTCTCCGGTTGGATTGCACCGGTTTTCGCTGCCGACAATACTTCAGAGGCTTTGAACTATATGCGACTCATCTGCCATTGGCAATTACAGGATATTGGCGTGTACTTTGATGATCTACCACTGCTGATTGAGGCAGGATGAATCACGAAAGCGACCAAAAGGTTGGAGCCCTGGAGAAAGCGACTTGCACTCAATCGCATTCTGTTAGACTAATGACAGGGCAGAAGGTCGACAAGCTCGCTCGCATCCGAGAGAACCAACGAAGGAGCAGAGCAAGGAAGCAGGAGCATATTCGCGACTTAGAGCAGAAGCTAGCCTGTCTGCAAGAACAAGCACACAAGAAAGATGTCGAGCACAGATTGGCCGCACAACGACTCGAAATGGAGAATAGAAAGTTGAGGTACCTGCTATCTTACTCAGGGATACCGCCTCAAACGGTCGAGGAATATCTGCGGAACGGTGATGATCCCGCCGTGACCCAGAAAGTCGCGATCCCGGCTCTTCGACGGTCTGAGTTTCAATCGGAAAACTTGCGTCAGGAGACGAAGTGTTCGCGTCCATGTGGAGGCAAATCATCCAATACTGTCGGTGAATTTCAAAGCGGCGATGGTGGTCTCGAGATTCAGAAAGTTGCGATACCGGCCTCTCGACTACCTGAGATCCAGCCCGAAGATCGATGCCGGGAGCAAAAATGCTCGCGCTCATGCCCAAGCAGGCCACCTCAGAAAGTTCAGGAGAAACCGCGGTCTACCTTCGATCCTCTTATGACCGAGAAAGTTGTATTACCACCTCTTCAACGGCCAGATATCCAGCATGAAGCTCCTTGCCAGGAGACAAAGCCTTTCCTCCCTTGCTCATCGTCGTCGGATAGGTCAGAAAGGGACGCCAGCCCTGCCGCAGTGCAAAATCAACTTCCCGCTAAAAATGAGCTATCAGACACGCCCGATCCGTCAGGAAAATCTACTTCTCAAGAGTCTCAGGACCCATCAGAACACCCCAGACTGCCTCCACTCTGTGACTGCGCACCTGGAGGCAACGAAGCAGAACGCTTTCCTAACAATGGGGACGCCCTCAATACGACTCTCTGTGCAATAGCGGATGAACTGATCCAACAATACAACACTCGCGGCATGGACATCACGGAAATTCGCAAGAGGCTATGGGCGGGCTTCTCCAAAGGCCTTACAACAGAAGAAGGATGTAGGGTGCAGAATCAGATATTGTTTCAGGTTCTGGACGAAATTAGCAACCACTGACGGGCTTGCTTACTATTATTATCCGTTATCGAGGCATTATCGCATTATGTACAAGTGCATGTGTCAAAATTTCTCGTCATTTCCATTGCTGTCGCCTGGCAAACCACCTGACGACATATACCAAGGCCAAGAGCACGGGAACTTCGACGAGAGGACCGACCGTGGCGGCTAGCGCTTGGTCGCTGTCGACACCAAATGTTGCAATTGCTACTGCGATTGCAAGCTCAAAGTTGTTGCTCGCCGCCGTGAAACTTTGTGTGCATGATAGCTTGTAACCGAAGCCCAACCGACGCGTTACTAGGAGGGTGATGAGGAAAATGACGGCGAAGTAAACGATGAGCGGAGCGGCGACTCGAACGACCGATACAATCTGATGGACGACTTGTCTGCCTTGGGAAGCAAAGAGTACCAGGATCGTGAACAGAAGACCGATCAAAGATAGCGGGCTGATCAGGCTCACGAAGGTTCTGTCGTACCATTCGCCGCCGATGAGGAATCTTAAAGCGAAGCGGGTGACGATGGCTGCTCCCAGTGGTATACCGAGGAACACACCAACACTCTTTGCGGCCAACGAATATTCGATGGTCAGACCGTCGTCTCCATCTCCGATGATTCGAATGAAAAGAATCGCGAGGGGAGCAAATAGAACCATTTGCAGAATCGAGTTGATTGCGACCAGAATCGCACAGTATTCACCGTCTCCTCCTGCAAGACCAGTCCAGACAAGGACCTGAAAGCTATTAGCCTGCATGTCCAGAGTATTCCATCTTACGGGCAAGGAACAAACCATTGCAATACACCGTGCGATGCCGACTAGGATTAAACCTTCTCGAAGTCCTCGTTCGTCGGGGAGAAACGCCCATGCTAAAGCAAGCTTCAGATGGTCAGCAGAATCTTGCAGCATCAGCCAAGGTTCGGGCCTACCATGAATAGAGGTGCTATAATCCAGTTCACAACAATACTGAATGCGACTTGAATCCAGAGTGTCTTTTCGCGGAATGACCGGTGCAGAGTCTCGAATCGCACTTTACACAGAATGGGGTACATCATGACTAGCAGGCCGATTGCTATAGAGTGTGTGAGCCATCATCCGGTCGACTGTGTTTCGAAACCAGGGCATACCTATAGGCACCGACACGCCGACGAATTTTCCTTTGTCCAGAGCTTTGCTCGTGTTGGGAACAAAATTACCAAGGATGATCCCGATAGCCATAGCCAGGAAGATCCAGACTGCAAGGAATCGATCTAGAAGGGCGAGCTGCTTGAAAGCAGAAGTCGGACCCTCCGTGGTCGCATCGTTGTCAGATTTTGAGGCATCTGGCGTACTGCAAGCTTCGATATCGCTTGGATGCTGAGAAGGCGATGTGCCGTCTTTTTCCCGAGTCATGGCGAAACTGCCCTAGAATCCTCCAAATCCTGCAATCATGTGTAGCAAGCTCATATAACAAGAAAAAATTCAAACACCTAGTCACAAAATCTATGGATTGTATTCCTATTGACAGGTATAGCTACTGCTCTGGCATAAAAATCCCAAGGCCGATAAAGCTGACTGAAAACTGATAAGTGCTGTAGCCAATCATGGCCCCGGAGTGACATGTAAAGATCACGTGATTCATTGCCACACTCTAGGTAGGTTTCTGTATGCGCATGTGAAATCAACAGGTTGACAAAAGCCTAACTTGACTGCCAAGATAGGCTTGTGCTGTGGGAGTGAGTCTTCCCCAGAAGTATCGAAAGCAAGGACTGTCATAGCAACACAAGTCCATGCTGTACTGAGTCGAAGTAGCTAAATGGGGTAGAGAAAGACCTATACAAGGATGAATGACGGGTGCGCGTCGACCCTAATGTCTGCTGGATACCCTTCGGTAGTAATATACGAGGCTTGGTATGATCGCATAAATGCCAGCTTCAGATGGCTGCAAACGTAGAGTTGATACGCCGTAGGAATGGGTTTAAAGCAGTCTAAAGGACACCCTACTCTACGGCTAATCATCGGCTCAGCAGCTGGCTAAGCCATTTTCATGGGCTCTTTCTGTGAAGCGGGTGAACCTGTAAATTGCCCTCTTGAGAATCCATTTCCCTTCTCGAGGCGGGACTCCACGGTCCACAATAAACCCCACACTGGGCGTCGGCTTTTGACCGATGCAGAGCTGTTTACGTACGGTTACTTTCACGGGTACTGACTATGACTGAAATGACACAGAAGGGGACAGATGTTTGGCGTTATGGACGATTGACGGTGATCCTAGAAGCTCAATCCTGCTTCGCTACTTGAATCGGCGTGGGTGTTTTACTTGTGTACTTGATATTCGGGATGATATTGGACCACAGTAGCCGGTACCGAGTGAATAAGGTCCCGAGTGATGATTCGGACTTTTTTGGGGTCAAGGCCATCTCTACTGAAGTCTGTAAACCGCGCAATTCTTAGCCCGTGAGGAGATGCCGAACAGTTTGCACTGTAAGGAGTACTGTAACTAAAGTCCCCGTCTTGATGCATTGTACATGATGTGTCCCATCGTGGAGTTATGCTCTCAATAATCATAAGCCCATCTCATCAACTGCAGTAGCCGCATCAGTCATGTTTGACGGTCTATCGACGCATTGTTGGCCGACTCGGCAACTAGCTGGAAATAAGTGACGTTATCAAGCAGGACGCGAGCGCTGATGACTTGGTTATTTGCTCGTGGTATTAAAGGGCGGCTCCAAGATACTACCTTAGAATACTCCACACTCCATACTCGTAGCCACAGCTGCATATGCCGGGTTCTCTCCCCGTGGGAACTCCACAGTCGACGGAAAAACTGCGGATTATGGCGCGTCAGACTAACGGTGAGAAATTTCAAATTTCGGAGAATCGGAGTAATTGGGCATGTAATGTTTACAGCAGATAGGTCGACTGAGAGGATGTCAAGCAGTAATGTGCGGCAGTCATGCTAGATCTGATAGTATGAGGGCAACACCGAAGGATATGTCTTCCTTCGGGATCTTCAGGAGTATAGTACGCACAAATGGATTTACTATTGTTCAAATGTATTTGTCTTCAATGGCAAGTTTCAGTGCTCACAGAAGCAGATTGATATCAACGAATCTAGTCGCGTTCTTGATGGAAAGTAGAACTATGAATACCGGATAAATACTTCAATACTTCATTGACTAAGGTAGTGGGTGGTTGGTACTGCCTGAAAGGGATATTCGAGCGATAATCGTCCGATCTCCATAATGTCTTATTGTTGTGTCTTTGACTACTACGCAGTACTGTAGGTCCATCATGATGATAGTAAAAAAGAGTTTCCGGTGTAAACTGTAGGTGTGTGATCCGATTACAAATCCGCGGTCGATGTGCTCAGTCTCGCTACTTGGGAATTGAATACAGTCAATACCCATCAACTTTGAGTATGCACGTCTCTTCCACTCGGAGAAACAAGCAAGGGCAAGCTTGGCAGTCAATCGGCTTGTGGACTCTCATCAATAAGGTATGCTCCCTTGACTGATGCGTTAGGGTAAAGAAGCGTACCTCCTTTGAGTCTCTCCATGCTTAGGAAGGTGTTTCCGAGGACACAACGCGCTGGAGGATGCTTTTGGTGGCTTGCTGATGTTGAGATAACTTCATTGCACGCGTGTTCATGAATACCAGTACCCGTACCTTGGTCAAATACTAGGCACCTGTGTCCGAAGACTCCGGACCCCGATGGCTTGAAAATGCGGGGTCTTGATGGGACAGTGACATTGAGGTGACAGCGCGCTCATCCCTGCTGCATCAGCGCATGGTCTTGATTCTATCATGTCATTGATGCTTCAACAGGGTCTACTTTGAATGTTCGAATGTAAACCGAGAAGCCGAGTCATGGTGGCTTGACGGGAATGAGCCATGGGGTACCTAGACTCGGCGGGGCTTGCGGTCTGGGACTGGAACCTCAGGCCACGGGCATTCCCCGGAAGAGGACGTGACTGTGTAATTCGATCCTCTCCTGTATCAAACATACAGATATGCAAAACATTGAACATTGCTTGACATGGCAATAAACCAAAGTTCACCTTAAGGAATTAGAGATCTAAGGAGCATATTCCGATCTAAATGCGAAATGTTTTGTATCAAAGGTAGGTAAAAATAGAGCTATCCATGGTATAACCCAGGTACTACAGGTACTTTACCAACCACACGCACTAGTCTTACCCCGTGTCTCCGACCTCTCCAGTTTTTCGGCTCCAGGAAAACAACAAACATCGTCATCATCTCGGCTCTTTTAGTCTCAAGTCATTTTCGAGGACAGAATCGTCAACAACAGCCCATTACACCTCAAGTTACAGAGGACATTGTATTTCATACTCTAGATCGTTTGTCGCCTAACCTACATTTGTGAAATGAAAGAGGCCAAATCTTGCAACTTGACCTACCTCTAATGTCTGTCTGTATTCCCTTGGAGATACCGGGCCGATGGATCTAATACAAATAATCGGATCACATTCCTCCCCGTGCTGTACCACTCGCTCGTTTACTCCGTACCATACTCCGTACTCTCGTGGATTACATGGAAGTTGAGAACTGTGATTGCTCCTTTCTAGCACAGTTCCCCATTCTCTCGAATGGGACGCGGGATGTCGATCGCCATGCCCCATCGCATTGTTATTCCCCGACACCAAAGTGGCAAGTGGTACCTGTCTATCCTAGTACATGACTGCATGTGGGCTTTTTTGCTGTCCCTTGCCCGCCCTTGGGTACCTTGTGCCCAGACATTCATACATCATCGCGCAACCTCATAGTATCTAGTAATAAAAATCATAGTCACAGTCCCTGCCTCCTCCGATTTTTGGTCTGGTTATTAATATCCTGTTCTCCCTTTTCCTCCCCCCCTCTTCCTCATTCCTCTTGCTCAATTAGAGCTGTGTGGTCGATCGTTTCTTTTCTGGCTTCGGAGTACATACACCCTCCACAGCAATGAGGTTCGGTTGGCTAGAGGTCGCCGCTGTGACGGCTCTTTCTGTAGCTAATGCTCAGGTTTATACTGCTTTTCCGTCATTGTTTCGATCATAGTTGACATTATTCCTGGAAATTATTTAGGAATTGGCTTTCTCTCCGCCATTCTACCCTTCACCTTGGGCTGATGGCCAGGGAGAGTGGGCGGATGCCCATCGGCGCGCCGTCGAGATCGTTTCTCAGATGACACTGGCGGAGAAGGTTAACCTTACAACCGGTACTGGGTGGGTTGAGACTTTCTTGTCGACAGTGAGCTTTCTTCACTGACAATTTACATAGATGGGAAATGGACCGATGTGTCGGTCAAACCGGCAGCGTTCCCAGGTAAGCTTGCAATTTCTACAGCAACGTGCAACTTTAGTTGCTAAAACGCGGTGGTGCAGACTTGGTATCAACTGGGGTCTTTGTGGCCAGGATTCCCCTTTGGGTATCCGTTTCTGTAAGCTACACTGCGGAGTCTTTCAGTCCTTGTGTTATGTGCTGATGCTTGTCTGTTTAGCTGATCTCAATTCCGCCTTCCCTGCTGGTACTAATGTCGCCGCGACGTGGGACAAGACACTCGCCTACCTTCGTGGAAAGGCCATGGGTGAGGAATTCAACGACAAGGGCGTTGACATTCTGCTGGGGCCTGCTGCTGGTCCTCTCGGCAAATACCCCGACGGTGGTCGAATTTGGGAAGGCTTCTCTCCTGATCCGGCTCTCACTGGTGTACTTTTTGCCGAAACTATCAGAGGTATTCAAGAGGCGGGTGTGATTGCTACTGCCAAGCATTACATCCTGAATGAACAGGAGCATTTCCGACAGGTTAGCGAGGCCCAGGGATATGGATACAACATCACGGAGACTCTCAGCTCCAATGTGGATGACAAGACCATGCACGAGTTGTACCTTTGGTGAGTAGTTGACTCCTCAAACGAGGACCTTTGACTGACCTACAATTCAGGCCCTTTGCAGATGCTGTGCGCGGTAAGATTTTCAGCAGACTTGACTCGCGATGAAGAAATCACTGACGAACCATCTACAGCTGGCGTTGGCGCCGTCATGTGTTCCTACAACCAGATCAATAACAGCTACGGTTGCCAAAACAGTCAGACCCTCAACAAGCTCCTCAAGGCCGAGCTGGGCTTCCAGGGCTTCGTCATGAGTGATTGGAGCGCTCACCACAGCGGTGTCGGCTCTGCCCTCGCTGGGTTGGATATGTCGATGCCCGGAGACATTACCTTCGACGACGGCCTCTCCTTCTGGGGCACGAACCTGACTGTCGGTGTTCTTAACGGCACCATTCCGGCTTGGCGTGTCGATGACATGGCTGTTCGTATCATGACCGCGTACTACAAGGTTGGCCGTGACCGTCTCCGTATTCCCCCTAACTTCAGCTCCTGGACCCGGGATGAGTACGGCTGGGAGCATATTGCTGTCTCCGAGGGAGCCTGGACCAAGGTCAACGACTTTGTCAATGTGCAGCGCAGTCACTCCCAGATCATCCGTGAGATTGGCGCGGCTAGTACAGTGCTCTTGAAGAACAAGGGTGCTCTTCCTTTGACCGGCAAGGAGGTTAAAGTGGGTATTCTCGGCGAAGACGCTGGTTCCAACCCGTGGGGTGCTAACGGCTGCCCCGACCGCGGCTGTGACAACGGCACTCTTGCTATGGCCTGGGGTAGTGGTACTGCTAACTTCCCTTACCTTGTTACCCCCGAGCAGGCTATCCAGCGCGAGGTCATCAGCAACGGCGGCAGTGTCTTTGCAGTAACTGACAACGGAGCTCTCAGCCAGATGGCGGATGTCGCATCTCAATCCAGGTGAGTAATGGTCCTTGGACAAAACGTTCTCAGAACAAAGTATTGACCGTTGCGAACAGTGTGTCTTTGGTGTTTGTCAACGCCGACTCCGGTGAGGGGTTCATCAACGTCGACGGCAACGAGGGTGACCGCAAAAATCTCACTCTTTGGAAGAACGGCGAAGCCGTCATTGACACTGTTATCAGCCACTGCAACAACACGATTGTGGTTATTCACAGTGTCGGGCCTGTATTGATCGACCGGTGGTATGACAACCCCAACGTCACCGCCATCATCTGGGCCGGCTTGCCCGGTCAGGAGAGTGGCAACTCCCTCGTCGACGTGCTCTATGGCCGTGTCAACCCCAGCGCCAAGACCCCATTTACCTGGGGCAAGACTCGCGAGTCTTACGGTGCTCCCTTGCTCACCGAGCCTAACAATGGCAACGGCGCTCCCCAGGATGATTTCAAAGAGGGCGTCTTCATCGACTACCGTTACTTCGACAAACACAACGAGACCCCCATTTATGAGTTTGGCCATGGCTTGAGCTACACCACCTTTGGTTATTCCCACCTCCGGGTTCAGGCCCTCAATAGTTCGAGTTCGGCATATGTCCCGACTAGCGGAGAGACCAAGCCTGCGCCAACTTATGGCGAGATCGGTAGTGCCGCCGACTACCTGTATCCCGAGGGTCTCAAGAGGATCACCAAGTTTATTTACCCTTGGCTTAACTCGACTGACCTCAAGGATTCTTCTGACGACCCGAACTACGGCTGGGAGGACTCGGAGTACGTTCCCGAAGGCGCTACGGATGGTTCTCCTCAACCCCTCCTGAAGGCTGGCGGCGCTCCTGGTGGCAATCCCACCCTTTATCACGATCTTGTTAGGGTATCGGCCACTATCACCAACACAGGCAACGTCGCCGGTTATGAAGTTCCTCAATTGGTGAGTGACTCACCTGTTCCTTGCCTTGCATTTTTGGCTGACTCGCTTCTAGTATGTTTCCCTGGGCGGACCGAATGAGCCTCGGGTCGTTCTGCGCAAGTTCGACCGAATCTTCCTGGCTCCAGGGGAGCAAAAGGTCTGGACCACGACTCTTAACCGTCGTGATCTCGCCAACTGGGATGTGGAGGCTCAGGACTGGGTCATCACCAAGCACCGCAAGAAAGTGCACGTCGGCAGCTCCTCGCGTAAGCTGCCTCTGAGAGCGCCTCTGCCCCCTGTCTACTAGATGATGGGAGGATGGAATTGTACAGGAATTCTTGGTTCATGTGATGTACAGCGCAGTCCTCTGCTTCAATATGGTTTTAATGACAGTGATAAGGTAGTCTAACTTGATGTCCACCCATACCAGTAGACAATGCCTTGCTGATGGTAAATCCACAAGCTGATTGACTTGCTTCTTTCTCCGAGTGGGATAGGTATGCATCCTACATGAAACCTTGTCTGACCCAGAGTCTCTCAGCATATTGCTGCAGGACTGGCTCTGAGAGTATAATATCTCTTTCAGCGGGTCCTGTTGCTGGACGTCCTACAACCTTCTCGAAAGGTAGCACTAGTTGCACCCCGGTGGTAGACGTGTTATTGTCTCGGTATACCCGGATTGTTGAAGAGCAGTGAGCTGCAGGGCAAGACCTTGTGAGTATCTCCCAACGCTGCATGATAACCTCCGGATTTCCCCGGTTGATAGCAATGGTGACAACAAGTTTAACTGAAGAGGTAGGCGGTTCCAACCACGCCCGAGCATCAAGAGCCAGATGCCGAGCAGATTCCGATAAACCCACTATCGCTACGAAGCTTAGCTCAGTGCTGTATTGTACAGGACCCCATGAGCAATCCGCTTCCTTTTTCCAGTTCCCGATAGTGACGGTGGTCGATCCAAGGGGTTCTATGTCATGTACGCCCATCGAATCCAGTTCCAGAGCGATGAGCGTATCGAATCTCCGCGCGGCTATGTCAGCTTCAGGACTGGCCTTGACTTTTGCGATTAGTGTTCCTGTACCCGTTGTCTCGCTGTAGGAGAATTGACAGTATTTGCTTGTTCGCGACGTGTCGTCGGTTAGTTTGGTGTGGATGTCTGGCGGGACAGAAGTGAAGACTAGGTACTCCTCGCGGGGTTTGTCGCGTGCGAGGGTAAGGGCTTGCTGACGGCTCTCTAGGGTTCGGTGTAGAGCCTGGCTGCTGGTAAATGGATGGTGAGGCAGGCACTGGACTAGTTGGGATGCAGCGTCGCCGGCGTTGGACCTATCGGTTGAGCTTGAGGGCACCGAAGGTGCAGAGTGTGCTGGCGGCTCCATGGTCCGCGGTCTGATATACGCCAAGAGCAGGTCAGAAAGGCGAGATCATCTGTTCTCTGGCTGCTTGATGGTGTTTGCGGCTGGTTGGATACTTTGCATGTTGACTGCGTGGTGTTCGGGAGGTATGGGCTCGATCACTTTCCTGCTTTGACGTCATCTGCTCGGCCGTCTATGGGTCGATTGATATAGGTTCATAAAAGATGCAGAGCCGGGTATCTCGATTTGATGCATCATATGTTCCGCGTCTGCATCGACTGCGGAACCAGTCCAGAGACAGGAGAGGATCATCACCTATCTCAATTACCCGAACCTTTTTTGCAACTTCGACGTGCTGGAAAGGCACTACCCGATGAGGATAGAGCCCATGACCTCCCCCAGCCGAAAGACTGCCGGTCTGCAGGAATCAATGTTTTGTCTTGTAGGCCCTGATAAGGTACTCCGTAGTGTAGGAGCCATTCTTACCATAAACAGGTTGACACAGGCACCAGGAAGTGGTGAACGTTAAGGCTTCGGGGCCTTCCCAGCGGTCAGCGCATACCTTACATCTCTGTGGCCTAATCCTTCATGGCTTCAGCCTTCATGGCATCTCCTGAGAGGCGCAAATGCACCCGCGCACTCATGGTCATTGGCAAGAATAAAGCTCGGTTGGGAAAGCGACCCCATGATGGCAACTGCCATCTGCTTTGGGATTCGGTTTGGCTGGTTATAAGGTACTTGGTGTTCTGACAAACATGTATGGATCATTTCATGGAGGTTGAGGCAATAGAGTGAGGACTATGGACTGGGTAAGAGAGTAGGGAGGACGCTGCCTTATAGTCGGGATTGGGTAATTTGCGCGCCTGCTGAACAGTGAATTGGAAAGAGTGGTTGATTACAACCAGTGACTGAATACTAGACGGACAAAGAATAGAAATGACGTTTCTCAATTCACTATCAGCAAGGTGAATAGCTCGTCTAGATATCTGGACCCGAACCGTTACAACCTACAGTCATGTTCATACTTGCTGAGTTCATTGGCCTTCCATGAACTGTTTATCTCCCATCACAGAGCACGATCGTATTTCCCAACATGAATTGTCCGTCAATACTTCAGGTGAGGTAGGGAGGTCCTCGTCAGGCGGCCTCGGAACGACTGACCGACAGGCTGTCCGGTTTAGGGTTCACTTGCTGGAGCAACAAGTTTCTGTCGCGACGCGACAGCTCTGTACATGTCTGCAGTCCCAGACCCAAGCTCATCCAACCGGAGCGCGGTTCATCCGCCGCGCTATCTCCGTCCATCGCGATGCGCGAGTGTGATGACTTGAATCCGAACTCATACTCTGGCTATATGCACTCCCTCCCACCGAATGATCCATCTCTGCCCCAGGCGGAAGAGGAGGAAGAGGTCTATCAAAGTAATGCCGTTCATACGGGGGCGGGAGATCGTCGTCGTCCGGCTGCTGTGGGTGGGCCTGGCTATGAGCCAGAGTCATATCCATTGACCGAGAATGCTGAAGTGGAGGAGGGCGGTAGGCGGCCGCGGACCAGTTTACATCTCCCCATGTCGACGAAGAAGTCGGCGAGCTGGTGGAGGGGCTCGTGACGACCCAGATACTCTCGCTTTCGACCCAGGTGAGTCGGCGAGGACGGCTCTGCGCCGACGAGAGGCTGGAGAGATCGGAGTTACTGTGACGATAGCTCTGGCTGTGGCTGTGACTGTGATTGCGACTGTAATTAGGGCTGTGACTAGCCCAAGCAGGAGAGTCAAGCTCGACGGGTGGGCCAGCTTGGACTCGAAGACGGGGCCGTGCAGTGTGGCGGACGTAGGCCGGGTTGAGATACTTTGTTCGGCGAAGGGCATGAGCGTCGGCGGACGCAGGTCTTTGCAGTAGGTGCAATCCCTCTGCTCCTGGACTAGTGAAGAAGGTATGCTCGAGGTGTATCTGAGGAACAGACATGTTGCAGGCCGGTTCGGCGAGCCGGGGGTTGTGGATCGGGGGGCCTTCGAGGGAAGAGAGATCCATGGGAAGCGAGTTCTCCGTACTCCGTGCACAGCCTGGAATCGACGGAACAGGGGTCTTCTTTAATTATCGCTAGATGCCGTGAAATGGGCCCTGAAATCGCACCCCACGAGGACTCATGCAATAAGTGGCGTGAGAGTACGAGGCCCGAGAGTCGATGGAGCCAAAAATAAGGTGCGAATACGATGGGACCCAGATGCGGCCCAGATGGCGAGTGGATCGACACTTCTGAACAAAGTTAATATGTCGTGTGTCGCAGAACAGAACCAGATTTGGGTGAGAGCATCCCGGCACCATTTACCTATATATGTTGTGGGGTGAAAGGCCATAATCATGCTGGAGAGGCAGTGCGAGTACACAACAACAAAGACAACCAACAGACAACAAAGGTAAGGACTCCCTGCGCCTTTGATGGGATCAGTCGGTGTGAGAACGGGGCACCCTAAACCCCAAGCCAGGTTTTATGGAAGCCATGCCATGTTCATTCTATTCCCGAGTCCCCGTCAGGCGATCTGGGGGGGGCTCGGATGGATCTCTTGGACAACCGACAGCGGAGAACCAACAATACACCTCATCTTGAGAGGTGTGAAAAATGAAAAGGATAGTATTTTGGCCCCGCATATCGATCAAAAGCGTCGACCACAAGCGCAAGGCGAGAAAGATTCGCTAAGCCGCTTGTTGGATGGAGCAGGTTGATATAAGGCGCACTGTCATGGTCAGATCTAGCTCATTTGGCTGCCATGCGGGATAAACAACTACTATCGGGCTCGGCTTTAGTCGCGTGTCCAGTATCGATAACTTACTGCGCGTCAGTTCACTTCTTTGAGTATACGAGGTTGAATCGCAAAAGCCAAGAGAAGACGCGGCTGTTGTTACCTTAGTAGCCGCCATGAATATGTTGGGTAATAAAGGCCAGTGGGAACACTGCCGCAAACCAAGTATTACATTATCCTATCTAAGCATATAAATTGGTTCCCTGATCCGCTAGAATATTCTTTGTCTTCAAAGCCTCAATTCAGCCCCATGTTGTTACTTATCTGGCCTTACCGCAGCTTTCTGACTTTGGGTTGCTGTTTCTTTGTCACTATCTACAGAGTGCTCACTTGGAAGAGTATTCTTCGAGTGTCGGAAGAATAAATATTAACTTTAAAATGGATTAACGGTGAGGATCACCTGGTATTCATTCACAGAATACTCCTTGTGTCGTGTGGCTTCCACCCTCGACTCAGCCTTCTAGAACTGACTCGGGTATGCACTCGTAAATCAGATTAAGCTGCCTTGCATCGGCCCCCAATAACGGTGACTCCTCTGTCTCGGTGGCTGTTGTATCCTTACAAACCACGGATCATGACCAAGATGAGACATGATCGCCTTTCTTAAAATAGACAGCCTCTCGACGAGAACATTACAAATTAAATATTGTTGAAGTTACATCATCATATTGACAAGTCAAGAATACAATGTAAGAAAAAGATATGTATAAGCAAGGATATAAACTGCTCTCCCAAAAGAAAGCCCAACTATTTAACACACACACACACACACACACACCCGTCACTCCGTCATGACAAGTTCATCCAGAAGCGCTGTCCTGGAGCCTCGAGTGACCCGGGTTCACACTAGGGACAAGAAGTGAACTGCTCTAAGCCAGGAAGAGAGCGGCAACGGCGGCAGCACCAGCGAAGACGAAAGAGCCGCTGAGGGTGTTACCAGCGCCAGTGGAGAGACCACCAGGAGGAATGGAAGGACTGTGGCATTGTTAGTGGATATTCAGTAGGCATATCTGGTGAGATGGTTAACTTACGTAGCGCTAGGAGAAGGAGTGCCGGTAGGAGCAGAGGGGATGACGGGGACGGAAGTGTGAGCACCGGCAGCGCCGCTAGGAGTAGAGACAGGGACGGTGATGTAGGTGACGGTGGGCACACAGGTGGTGACAGCAATGACGGAGACGCTGGGGGCGACAGCGGTGTTGGAGGGAGCAGGGATGACGGGAACGCTGCTGCTGCTGGCGCTGCTGGCGGAGGGAGTCTCAACGGGAGTCTCGCTGGCGGTAGGGGCAGCGGAGGAGTTGGTCACGGCGTCAGCACCCGAGGGGGTGGAGGTGGAACGAGCAGGGCAGTTGGTGACGCTGGGAGCGCAGGAGGTGATGGTAACATCCTGGGTCTCGTAGACGGTCTGAACGTCACCGGGGAGAGCAGCGGCAAGGCCGGCGAAGAAAGCAATGGAAGCAGCAGTGAAACGCATCTTGAAGATTGGTTGGTTGGTTGGTTTGGTTGATGTATAGAAAGTCACTGGAATTAGCCGTCAAGGCAAATTTTATGTCGTGGTTGTTAAAGAGAGTGTGGGTAGTTGGTTTGGTTTGAAAGAGTGGCCGACCGAAGTCAAATTGGATTTGATGCTTGAAGCAGGAAGAAAGACTTGGAGCTTGGAGAGAAAGAAACAAGAAGAAAAGAACGAGGGAACGACGGAGGGGGCTTGGGGCCCTTTGTATGAACGGGGAGATTAAACCTGGAGATCGTCTCAGGGGAAAAAGGCAAAAGAAAGTGAGTCGACCGTGTCAGGTGGAGAGCGAGGGGGCTGCACCAGTGCACCACCAGCACCATAGTATTGTTATTATTATTATTATTATTATTATTATTATTGCAGTACTAACTAGGACCAGTAAGTCAATAACGGAGTACTCTCGATTCAGCCTGTAAGTTTCCTCTAATAATCCACTAGATTGGAACGGCTTCACTAGATCTAAGTCAATCAATATTGCAATGACTAGCAATCTAAAATAGGAGATTACACCAAAGTCGCGGTGTACAACTGGATACCATTTCTTCATAATCTATACTGAAGTGAAGATAAACAGGTATGAGATACCTAAGGAAATGCAATGTATCGCTCATCCATCACGTCTCATCGATCGTCATACTCACTAAGTACCTACTAGGTATGTACTGTAGGTTCATGATTACGCGGTACCGCTAAGGTACGCTCGTGCGATGAATTGACAGAGGCTAGCCTATGGTTGGTGGAGGATAGCATCAGCCGGCCTAAGACAGCGTCCTAGTGCTTAGCTGGCCGGCCATGAGTGCGACCCTGCTGCGTGGTGTTGATCCCGCAGTTCCATTGCTTGTTCCAGTATCGCCGACCAAAAAAAGCGGTCCAATTGTCGTTCCTGAACCCCTGAGTCGAATAAACTAGCGAAGTTAAGAGGCTTTCTGAGTTACATAGTATTTCTGGGCACTCAGCCGTTCTCTACACTCCTTATATCGCAGTAATAATGTCAATTTATTTCCTATTACTGACTTTCTATCAATCTACTCTCCATTACTCCGTACATGGGTACATGACAGGAATGATAGAGTAATGAACCCTCAAGCAATCTCATCTGCCAAGCGATACAACGGTGGGAGTACCTGTTTCATGTTTTCGCCTGTGTACCAATCAGAAGTCACGTCTTAGCCGTTCCTGAATCCGTGGTCCACTCAGAGGCCTCTTTCATTTTCCCGCTGTGGCTCTCCAACCCCGCTGCGTGTCCAATGACCAGAGATCTAGTGGAGCCACAGTGCTCCACCTGCCCCTAAGTCCTTTATTTTGATTTCCATTCAATCTGGCGGTCTCGCTCAGGGACGGGCGACAGAGCGCCAGACTGAATGATTATTGTGGTCCCTGAATGTTCGGAACTCTGGATCTGAATTATGTCCGGATTCAGCACTTCAAAGGATGATCATGGCCAGGAACCAAGGATCGGTTAAGAATAGTACTGGGGTCATCTTTGAATCAGTGATGATGACCTCGTGAGTCAGTAAGGTAATCGCCCTGAGATTGATGCATGTTACATTGATATGCCGTGAGCCTATGATGCATTACGCCGGTCAATGCACAGACCCAAGTCCTTTTCAGAGACTGGCCTTGATGCACCCCTGCCAGGGACCAGGTCTGGATACCACTACCGAAACACTGACTTGACTGAAGTCTGAGCGAGAGCTTCGAGACCAGGGCCTTTGAGACGCCACAGTCACACTGGTTGTATTGCTTAATTAAAGCTTAGGGGTATCTATCTAGTAGTATCTACTGTAGCTGTAGTACTGTTATTATTGGTCCTGTGAGCGGAAAGAGACCATCATCAGGCTTAGAAAGACAAGCCACAGAGGAGAGACATGTTAATGAATAGTCCCTCTGGTTACCCCTGACTAAAGCGAGTATATTCAAGAGTATAAACTTTTCATTGGCTAGGTATGCCCGGGATAGGCGTCAAAACCAATTCAACCACTTGAATTTAGAGGATACTCCGTAGAGATGTTCTATTTTCCCGAAGCGACGTAGATATGGAGTCTCTACGGCCAATTCATTGAGTTCGAAAGGGTATGATGACCATAACCAAGACTATCTGATCATTAGGCCTGGATCTAATGGAAAAGGGGTTGATCCATCCTTCTGTCAACTGCAAGCAAACTACCGAGTAGACTATCTAGTCCGCTAGTCAAGCCAATGTTGCTTTGATTAGAAACGGGTTATTATTTATGGAGAGTGGCCAACGGAGTCGATACTATAAACAGAAGACCCTTAGTCACTCATTGGCACTCAGAGACATACACTCTGTGCCTATACGAAGTATACGGTAGGATAAGAGCAGAGTCAATGGCCCACAGATCAACAGGGGCAGTCTATTATTCTCTGCTCCCTGACCGAATCTCGAGAAGTTCGTAAATTTTCTTGTGATGGTGTGGACTTCATTCTTCAGAATCAAACAGATTATGCATTCGGTATTTCGGTCGATATCTCCCAAGTGAGTTAATGAGGTAGTCGCTATATTCCGCATGACCATTCCTTTCCCTGCAAGTATCTGGACGATCTACGAGCAGTGGGGATTGCAAAGGCTCAACCGAGGATCACCAGAGCCGCGCGTCTATGATGTAGTAACTGTACATTCTCACTAGAGGGTTCGATGACGGCATAGATATGAGGTAGTACTGGAGATGCCACGGTTGCCGAGGATTGTCATTATTCCTTCCCCTCCAGAAGAGATGGTTCATGTTGTGACTACTTGATCACATTATTGTATTCTCGGGGTGCAAAATGACCTCGGTGGCTATTTTAGGGCCCAGTGGGGCCTGGATATCTGAAGTAAGCGACGATGACATGCGGAAAGTAGTCATTCTCATCTCAAGCTTGTCATTTGCTTATGAAGAATGTTTAGGGAGATTATGTCAGAGGTAGATTGAGCTCATTGAGTCAAGATAGAAGATCCAAGTCCACTGCCGGTGTAGCTTGTTTGATGAATAAACCCGCAAGGCTGAAGTTGAGCTGAAGAAGCTGCTGCACGTGCCTCGATTGAAACAAAGATTGTGGAGAAATCCTCTATTTGGACAAGTACCTCTTACTACGGAGTAAAAAAAGCCAATGATTCTAGGTGAAGACCAAAAGTCATCAAATCCTTCGATTCACAAGAAGAAACCCTTAGACTACCGAATACCGAGTGCCCATACACGTCTGCAGACCTGCAACTTGCAGTCCTGTTGATTGTTGATTGTTGTGGATCCGGACCCAAGCAACTGTGGACGACACAGCCACCCAGGACCAAATATCCATTCTCACAAGCCACAAATCCGAGTATTTTAAGTACGGGAGACTAAAAGTCTGAAACACTCCCAGCTTGAGGTCTCAGATGTCTCACTTCGAAATAGGATAGGTGCACAGTCGCCACATTTACCAGATTGGGGAAGGAAAGTGGCTGAGAAGGTCTTAAGACTGACCTGTGACCATTGACTGCTTCGGCTATGGCTCGCCCTCTCCACACTTGGAGTTGGTACTGAGCAAGATGCACGTCAATACTCTACGTTCGATAACATATGAACTCATAACTCAGAGATGAAGCATTCAAATCTGAGTAGTATGATGCCATCGAGAGTAGATGCGGATCGATGATGTGGAGTTCCATTGAGAAGATTTTTCATGGATGCCTAGATGCCTGGGGAGCCGAGGACAACACATCGAGACCATCATCAACAACAACTACATCAAATCTATTATAGATTGAAGACAACGTCAATAATGAAGAACCATGTAATGATCATGATGAATAAATTTAGATCCTATCTATCTGGATATAGCCGATAGTAGTATTGGGTAGAGATCGCATATTTATAGAAGTGGTACTTTCTAGGCGCCTTTCGAAACAGACTGGTCCCACCGATGCGATCCCCAGCGCGATTGAGTCTGTTGGCTGTGCTCTGTGATTGGCATTGAATTGTGATAGAACCGAGTAACAGCGTATAACATAGGGTAATTGATATAATATAAGCGTCATATCGCTCTGCATCTGGCTGTGGATGGTAAATATTCGACCGTTCAAACATCCAACAGCCAATCCAAGCTGACTGACACTCTGTCAGCTGCTGGATATTTCGTGTCATCAATAATTTTGTCGCTTCCCCGACCGTTGGTTGTTGGCCCATCCCCATCATCCTTCGATCCTCCTCACCCACTCTCGTCCTCATCAACTCCTTCGTTCATCCAGTCTCTTTCTTTGATTCTGTTCAAAGGAAGAGAAATACCAACGTTCGTTTATCCCGATCTATCGGTGTCATCTATTGTGTTGTCTCTTTGATCGTACGCCTACAACTGTTATAGCTATTATTCCTACCCCTCCTTTGTTCATCCGCCGCGTGTATCTCGGCCCCACGGCCACCTTTGATCCAACCCCCGGTGCTGCTTCGTCCACCCTCTTTTATCCATTTCAGTCCTCGACCTTCTCGTTCAAGGTGTCCAACTCAAACGTCGCCGATCTGGCTACCTTGGCTGATCCCAACGAGTTGTTTTTGCCAGGGGAGAGGCAAAACAACCTCGCCATGTCGTCCTCGCCCGTTCCTCTCCTCAGACCACCAGTGCCTGGCAATCGCAGCAACGGACCTCGACCTCCAAAACTCACGCTGGGCATTCCTCCATCCCCAAACAGCAGACCGGTCGATGCGAATGGCGTCGGCCCCGCAGTCGCAGCAGCAGCCCCCGAGGCACCCCAGCCTCAGCGACCTTCTACCCGTCCCGCTCCTCCTCAGCTGCGACTCGCGACCCCCATGGGCAGCAGTTCGGATGTCCCCCAGGAAGTGCCTCGACTGGCCAATGGCAGACCTGCCCCTCCGCCTCTGGCGACCACGGGGTTGAACGAATCGAACGGACATTCGAGATCCAGCAGTTTTACGTATCTGGATGGAAAAGCTAGCGGTCCGGCGTCCGCATCATCGTCGAATTATTCTGCACTCTCATTCGCCATGGGTCTCCGGCAACCGCACGGCAGCACTCCAGATCCCTCATCCGCCATCAGCTCGGTATACTCCGACAGGGAGGGAGGTGTGCAGATGGAGCGCGATAACAGCGTCAACGGACTTCTTCCCGATTTGGATAAGTTGAGTCTGGAAAAGGGCAGGCCCCTGGACGTTGATGACTTGGATGATGAAGGTTGGCTAGCTGCGAGCGAGCAAAAGAAGATTATTGAGTTGGGTAGTCTGGGTGAGGGGGCTGGTGGTGCCGTTACACGGTGCAAGCTCAAGGACGGCAAGACCGTTTTTGCCCTGAAGGTATTTACCATATTCCTGATACGTGAGATTTCTTCATGCCAATACAATTACTTCTCCAGATCATCACCACCGACCCAAACCCAGACGTGAAGAAGCAGATCGTTCGAGAACTCAACTTCAACAAGGACTGTGCATCAGAGCACATCTGCCGCTACTACGGCGCTTTCATGGACAAGTCGACGGGAACAATCTCAATTGCGATGGAGTTCTGCGAAGGAGGAAGTTTGGATAGCATTTACAAGGAGGTCAAGAAATTGGGAGGGCGAACAGGAGAAAAAGTCCTCGGCAAAATCGCCGAAGGCGTCTTGAATGGTTTGACATACCTACATAGTAGAAAAATCATTCATCGAGGTAAGCTCGCTTCTTCCAAGGATTCGTGCAATCGGCTGATCGATTCAGATATCAAACCCTCAAACATTCTCCTATGTCGAAACGGCCAAGTGAAGCTCTGTGACTTTGGCGTCAGCGGCGAGTTCGGTACCAAGGGAGATGCCAACACATTCATTGGCACATCCTACTACATGGCTCCTGAACGAATCACCGGCCAATCCTATACCATTACGTCGGACGTTTGGTCCCTTGGTGTGACGCTACTGGAGGTTGCCCAGCATCGTTTCCCGTTCCCTGCCGATGGCACCGAGATGCAGCCACGAGCCGGATTGATAGATCTTCTTACATACATTGTTCGCCAACCGATTCCCAAGCTGAAAGACGAGCCCGAAAACCGTATTCGCTGGTCCGATAACTTCAAGTACTTTATTGAATGCTGGTATGTATCTTCTGCCTTGAACAAGTGGGTTAGAGTTAACTTGTCCCAGTCTCGAAAAAGAACCTCCACGAAGAGCCACACCATGGCGGATGCTGGAACATCCCTGGATGCTGGACATGAAAAATAAAAAGGTCAACATGGCCAACTTCGTCCGGCAGGTGTGGGGCTGGCAAGATTGATTTCCCCAGTCTTGGACTCTGCAGATTTCAGCCTTCATTAGATCCGTTTCATTCCCTAATCACCACCCACCGACCGCAGCATTGACTTAATCTCATATACAATAATGCCCCTGCATATATTACGGTCTCTCCTTCAACGCTTGCAAGTGGCTGGGCCTTCTTGATTGACCAGGATGTCAAAAGCATACGAAATCTTGCATTATGACGACGTTCATTACCTCTCATTGCAACGTCATTCCTTTGGGTGAACAGTCGGAGTTGAATTATATTCTTCTTGGTTTCCACTTTCTCGTTCATATCTTCTTCCGCAATGTTGCTTCAGAGAGGAGAGAGTTCGAAAGGCATCTGCCGGCGAGCAGCAGTGCTGACGCTTTTTTCATGGATGCCGAACGGGATAGTTGGGACTCGATCTCTTTTGTGAGTTTTCAATATCGGTTCAGCCTGATTCTTCTTGAGCAGCTGCATCTGTGTGTGTGCTTTTAGTATCTACCTTTATGTTCTTGCTACATGCCTGTCTTCCAATGAGAATGTACATTGGCGCCCGTCAAGTCAAGTCAATAGTGAAAATCTCATTCGTCTTCTACCGATTGACAGTATATTGATATGGATTAGCTCAAAGCTATGGTTCCATTACCTTGTAGCTGATGTAGAGCTGGTGTATCAACAATGCCTCAGGCAGAACTCAGATGGCGATCGTAATGTTGCAATGCTGGAGATTGTAACGGATGTTTCGGGAATTTCAGTAGAAAATTACCTGGAAACTACCTTAGTGGGCGCCAGATGCACCCTAGTAACCTGGCAACAAACGTGACTTAGAGGCCTCACTGTGTGGTGTATTTCCTAACTTTTAGGAGTTCAGCATTGATGCTTCGATTCCCAGGAAAAAGACAGTCTCGAGCATGACATGACATGGTTCGTTCATTATTTCTCGCTGCAAAAGGCAACACTATGTATATGACTAAGGTATTCTAGTACGGTTATAAATGCATCGAGTCAAAGGGACAAGGGACAAAGGACAAATGACAATCTCAAGTCTCAACGCTAACCGGGCCAGACGCGGGACCAACGCCATGTCATCATGGGCAAACATCAGTTACATCACAAGCTCAGCTGTGAGCTGTAAGCGAATGCGAAGATGAAAAGAAAGAAGGCGGTTATTTACGATCGGTTGACAGGCTGCGCACCGAGAACCCAGCCGATCCCGCTTGCCAGCCCGCCCGTCACCATGTTACTGACGACGTCTCTCTTGCGGACTCGGCCCTCCTGCGACTGCGGGCTGGATTCCTCGTGGCCTTCGCGCGCTCGTCGCGACGGTGTCATTTCGTCTGGTGAGGCGGCGGCTGCCGAGGCAGCGCCGCGTAGGGGGAAGGCGTTCTTCTGCAACGCGAGGGCGGCGCCACGGGCGACTTCGAAGAGACCCATGGGTGCGTCTTCGAGGTGGGAACGGTGCCGTTGGGCGCGGACACGTCGCGCGTGTTGCTGCTTGGTGTCAAAGGCGTCTTGTTCCGTGTCCGTTGGGCCGAAGCCGCCGGGGAGGGTCGAGAGGCTGTCGCCCTTGGCGTCCCATATCTCTTCTTCTGCGCTTTCCTGGGCGCGGAGGACGTTCATCTCCTCGTCGCAGCGACGCCATGCGCCGAGAATCTCTGGGAGTGGGTCGGGATATGGGACGAGAGTGAGCGCTAGAGAAAGGAGCTCCATGCGTTGTGAAAGCTGGGTGATCTGGGCTTGCAGGGACGGCTCAGGGGTGGAAACGGGCGCGCGGTAGCGGCCGGCGTTGTAGACAGCGCGCCAGGAGATGTCGTCTTTGACGTTCGGATTTGTGAGGGGCGAAGTGGTAGGTAAAAGTGAAGGGGGTGTGAGACGAGTGAGGATGTAAGAGTATGCGGTGCCAAAGTCGTTAGAGGAAAGGGCGGATGAAATGGCCAGAGACATGACGCGCCGCTCAGCTGTGACCACCGCATCTTCCCGCGACGTAGAAGGCGTGGCACCCAAATGCGATTCGTGGTCTTCGGAGGCACCGGTCGGCAGCCCGGCCTCGACCAGATTGCGTCCAATGGAAAGTAGATCGTCGAGTTTTGTGTAGCTCTTTGGATTCTGATCGAGTACCTTTTCAATCAAGGAGAGAGGATCAGCGTGGACCCGGATGCTGACCGGCTGAAAGGGGACGCCATGCTGCAAGGTTAGAGAGTAGAACGACAAAGCGTGAGTCGCTGCTATGAGCGCCTGGATTTGTTTCAAGGTTACGGAAGCTGGGAAATGTGGTTGGAATGCTTGTAGACTGGTACGCGCAACAAAGCCTGTCAGTTGAGTATCTGGATAGGAATCGCACGAAACTCACATCTCGTAAGCCTTCTTCATTCCCCCTCGCGTCCTATTGCCGTTGCTCGCGTTGTCATACGCTGCAAAGATAGCGTCTTGAACTGTTTGTTCGACCTGGTTCGGATCCAGAGGAGCCGGGTCAGACCTGGTGTAAATGTCCACGGCCAGTTGATATTCTTGAGTCAATCAGCACCTGTCAAGTGAGAAATTGGCATTTTCTGCGACTTACCTTTGGCTTCCAACAAGGCTCTCAGCACTTCTGTTTCCAGGGTATCCCGGGAGACCTTCCAAAACAGTCCGTGACAGGGAGAAGGATCCAACGTCTGTTCAAACTGTTTCCCCTGCCAGTTGCGAAGCCATAGCAGCTGTTCACGAACCTTCTTCCAATCACGACCAGGAGTGGCCTGCTTGGCAATTGAGCTAACCGTATTGCGAAGTTCTGCAATTTGCATATCCTCGGTGCTGTGCAGGCCCAGGTTTGCAGCTTGCCTGCAGGGTATTGAAACGCCCAATTCATGCAGCACCTGCAAAGAGAGAAGTAGTGCGCTCAAGAATGAGACCGACGAAGCAGACGGAACCGTCAATGGATTCGAACTCAGAAGCAAGGCATTTTGTAACAAAGTGACTCTTGACGTGGACGGAATCTCACCCGCATCGAATGTCACCGAAGGAAGTGCGGAATCCTTGTGTACAACAAACACAGAGTCCCGAAAGTTGAGTAACTGAGCCACTCTTGTCACAATCTGCATTGAGCCCTCCAGAGACGAACGGCTCGTATCAGAGTTTGCGTACACAACGGCAAGGCCTGACTGGCCATAACGAGTCCGCATTTCCGTCAATTCGTCCTGTGTTGGTTGATCCTTCTCCTCTCCGTAGCCTCCAAGGTCCACGTCCCCAGGTCCATCCCAGTGAACAAAGGCGTTGACTGCAGTATCATGCTCCACCAAGCTATGCGACAGCAACCATTCATTTACCTGTTGCCATATAGCACCTGTTGTCGTCTTCGGGCGGTGGCTGTCCTGAGGAAGGGATATCGCACTCTGATTTGCGGCCTCGTTGAGCCTGCGTCGTTTCGCGCGATTGCTGCCATATATCCACGCACCCACCAGTCCACGGAGGTTCCTCGCGATGTCCATCTCGTCTTTTCTCGGACTCGTCATAGACAGCAGAACGTTGACCGCGGTTGCATCGTCCATCGACTCTAATGTATTCAAGGAGAACGTCTCATCTTGACTCGGGTAATACTCATAATTCAATCGGAGGAGCGGTAGGATGCTAGAAATCAACCATGTACGCACGGTGGACGAGCGTTGGTAGAATGGCAGAAGAAGGTCAAGGATGAGTGGCTGAAGACCGGTCTCGGAATCTATGCGATGGGACCGATGGATAAGAAATTGAGTCAAGAGGTCGGAAGGCTCGCTATCCTCGTCATCAGGGTGTCTCAGCGGCAGTAGACGAAGCTTCCGGACGCGTTTCCTCGCAACAGCCTCGGGAAGGACTTGGACGGCCGAAACGTCGACATCACCTTCAGAAGACTCGGTCGTGGAACCAGACACTAGTTCTTGAAGCACAGATGTATAGGCCTGCGGTTCTGTGCTCTCTGGAAGAAAGGTCAAGATAATGCGCAAGAGACGTTCCAAGGGTAAATAGCCGGGGAATTGGGCGTGGAGGAGTGGCAGATGAACGACATGGCCAGTGGCACAGAGCTGCGTTGCTAGAAGAATCGCATGAGCACCAGATATCGTTGCAGAAATCGCCATCGCGAGTCAGACTCCATAAAATGTCCTCTCATGTCACAATCTTGTCGATGCTTCTCCGACCTCCCGAATCGAAAACGTAGACGTCAACGGGGACAACAGGCGGGGCGCTCGGACCACCTGGGCGGAAACAGGCGGGGCGCTCGGACCACCTGGGCGGAAACAGGCGAATCGCCGCTTGACTAAGACTGCGTCCGCACCCTCACCTCCGCTGCTCTAATCCGCAGTCCTCTGCAGTCCAAGTCCTACTCTCACGCCCCCAGCGACACAATGGCCTCTGGTTTCGGTCTCAATGGCGGTATGTGGTACCATTCCTGTGACTCTTGAGTTCCAGAATCGCCTCAATCGATGATTCTCGGCGGTCACGGTCGCTCGACTTCATCCATGCGGACTCCCCGGCTAATGCTCCTGTGATTGTCCAGGTCCCTCGCGCTGCTACGGTTTTTGGCAGGAGGTACTAGGATGCTACGTCGTCAATGCCGGAGAGGGTGAAGCCGGCAAGAAGAAGTGCATGCCCGCTCTGGAGGATTACTATGAATGCCTGCACCACCGGAAAGAGGTACGCCCCTTTGCTCTGGGCCCCCTTCGGTTCGATTTGCGATGGACGGCTGTCTGCAGGATATTTGGATATTCGAATACTGGAGTGATGGTCTGACTTTGGCGTATAGGCTCTCCGAACGATGAAGATGCAGGCCGCCTACCGCAAGGCCGAGGCCGCACACCCCCGCGAGAATGCGCCCAAGGCAGAACAGATTCGCAGCTTGGGTCTGTTAGGGAAGGAAGAAGAAGCGTCTGCATTGCTGGCCAAGTCATAAGAGGGGAATTGTACGCATATCAAGGGGTGCGGTTACACGTTTGTTGTCTTTATACTACTACCAGTCATGCTGTCGCTTTACAATGGAGTTTCCAACTGTACAGGAACAAAGCGTCCAGTTTCCATCTGTGCCACTTACGAACTTTGAGCTTAGTGCATCTATAGTGAGGTCTAACGCTTAAGAGCTTCACTATTGTTTCAGGAGTCGGGCTCAGGCGTCATTGAGGATTCTTCGCGAGGAATCGAATATCGATGGGGCAAATCCCGGTCTAATACTCGGCGAAATTGCTGGCTTATATGAATATCTCTGCCACTGTAGAGGTGAAATCTCATAAAGCATTTTATCGCAGTGAATGACGTCCTTCGTAGAGTACAGTATGCGAATGAAATGAAGTCAAGGTAATCTGATTGGAGAGAATTGAATCAACAGCCACGCCTGAAGCAATTACTTAATGAGAAATCTAGTTCATCTGGCGGTATCCCTGAAGTAGTGAGAGTCTAGTAGGCGATCAAGATAAATAGTACTGTGTACCTTAGGCCTTGAGAACTGTCTGTACCTGAAGTCCAACATATTGAAACGTTGCATGGTACGGAACATCTGCATTTGTATCGTCAAGCATCCTCTGAAATGACACCTGACTTGTCAAACTAAGGTATTCTTCAAGTGATCAACGCAATCCAAGTATGCACATGAGGCGATCTGGCATTTCTTGGCGTGTTGTCGGGAGATTAAACAAGCTATGAGGCGATATATATTTACGTGTACCCAATTCTGAAGTATATCTGGAACATGTTTCTGCAGAGAACTTTTCTTGAGAGACTGTAGATATGAGAGTCAATTTCTCCTTTTCAATCGACGATATAACTCTGAAAGTACCTACAAGTGGAACCTCGATAGCTTGACCATGTCACCAGAGAAATCTGGGTTGTCCATGATCCAAACAGATCATCACGACCCTTTGCGGTGTCTCATTTGCAGGAAATTTCATGGCCGTCGATCCAGGCGAGGGACAGTCACGTGATACTAGGAAAACCTTTACGGGAGTGGAGGCAGCTAAGCCTTCCTGGGACTAGCGCAAATGGGCCAAACATGGGCAGGCGCGCCCAGCCAAAGATGCCCCCAATGATATAAACAGCCTGCGTGACCTCGAGAGGAGAAAAAAAGGTCGATGATCCAAGACGGACAGAAACAGAAACAGGTCAGGACAAGGTTACCTAAGGAGCCACCCGACACATACCTACCTATCTATACCTACAGAACAGCCACACTTGCAGGCAAGCAAGCAGTACAACATCGCGGTCCTGTAACCTGTTTTATTTCTTATTTTCTGTTTTCTTTTCTCCTATTCGCCTTCTCTCATTTTCATATTCACCTCTGAGTATTATTATACTCTGTCCCTCAATTTCTCCATTCACTTCTCCGTCGATGGCTGTGGCGCGGGTGTAACGAACTCGTGTATTTTACCATACCTCCCTTGATCTCCGTTACCTGCCTACTTTCCTCACTTTGGCGTCTAGGGAGGTATTCTCTTCGTCATCTTCTTTTCTTCTTGATTGTTTTTCTTATGGAATTTTTTTTTAATACCCTGCGCGCATAATCTCCATGATTACAGCCCCCTCTTCCTGATTTAATCTCCTATCATATTGCGCTTACATCCGTGTTGACGACCCGCCATGACTTCCAGGTAAGTGAATCGTGTCCGTCATAATCCGGGCGTTTCCGTATTGTATGCAAAATGACGCTAACCGTTTACGCTTAGACTTGATCGTCTTGTCACGTGAGTTTGCTCTCCAGGAGCCTCGTCTTCGCCAACTGACCAATTACCTTTGCAGATTACTAGAGACTGGCAGTACGCCTCTCATCAGAAACACTGCCGCCCAGCAACTGGCAGATGTGCAAAAGCAGCATCCAGATGAACTATTTAATCTACTCGGACGTATTCTACCATATCTTCGGTCCAAATCATGGGACACCAGAACCGCTGCAGCCAAGGCAATAGGTCTCATTGTCGCCAATGCAGACACCTTTGATCCTAACCAGGATGACGGCCAGGAGATCAAGAAGGCCGAGGACGACGATCTCGATGTTGACATCAAATCGGAAGAGGAGCTGTTGTCCCCGACGGACGACTCGCTCCTCCAACTGGAGCGTCTTGATCTCTCTTCTATCCTGAAATATGGAAAGAGACTACTCGGCAGCGCAGGCAAGGAATATGAGTATTCTCTGGCCGCTATGGATCCTGCTTCCCGACTGCAGCATCAAAAGAAAACCTTGACCTCCCGCTTGGGTCTCGCCGGCGAGTACATCGAAGAGGACCTAATCAATGACAACGACCTGGTTTCGAAACCGGTTGTGAAGGAAGAGCCATCTTTTGTTGCCTCCCGTGAGCACAGCATTCAGGGCACTTCCCAGCCTCTGGCGTCGCCGATCGAACCCGCCAATGGAGAGGAGTCGGGCTTGAGCAAACGGCAGCTCAATCAATTAAAGCGAAAGAACAAACAAAGTGCCAGAATGGGGGCAACTAAAGTGCGTGTAGTTGACCTGTCCTCGCGGAGAGCGTCGGAGAACGTGACAACGCCTTCGGTCGCCACACCTTATCCCATCAAATCAGAGAATGGAGAAGACCGCAACGGCGATTCCAAGCCAGATTATTTCTCGTTAGACCGATCCGCCGCCGATGATGATTCGAAGATAGTCTCGGAATTCAAAGGAGCTGCGGTTCCAGAGAATCCATTACTCCAGCCAGAGCCCACAGAAGAAGGTCCCAATCCGAACTGGCCTTTCGAGCTCATGTGTGACATCCTCATGGTCGATCTTTTCGATCCGAACTGGGAGCTCCGTCATGGTGCTGCGATGGCTTTACGTGAAGTCATTCGCGTCCAGGGAGCCGGTGCCGGCCGTGTGCAGGGGAAGAGCAGGGCTGAGAATGACATATTAAATCGCAAGTGGTTGGACGACCTTGCGTGCCGTCTCCTGTGTGTGCTCATGCTCGATCGCTTTGGTGACTACATCTCAGATAACGTCGTAGCTCCCATCCGAGAGACCGTCGGTCAAACGCTAGGTGCACTCCTGTCTCAACTCCCGTCACGGTCGGTCATTTCTGTCTACAAGTGTCTCTATAGAATCATTATGCAGACCGATCTCGGCCTGGAACGACCTATCTGGGAAGTTTGTCACGGTGGCATGATCGGTCTCAGGTATCTAGTAGCGGTTCGAAAGGATCTGCTCATCAAGGATTCCAAGCTCATGGATGGCGTGCTCGAGGCGGTCATGAAGGGCTTAGGGGATTACGATGACGATGTCCGTGCCGTGAGCGCGGCAACGCTTGTTCCCATTGCCGAAGAATTTGTCAAAACTCGTCAAAGTACTTTGGGCACCCTGATGACCATCGTTTGGGATTGCCTTTCGAATTTGCAGGATGATCTCAGTGCTAGTACAGGTTCAGTCATGGACCTTTTGGCGAAACTGTGTACATTCCAAGAGGTTCTTGACGCGATGAAAGCCAACGCAGCGGTCAATCCGGAATCGTCGTTTGGTAAACTTGTTCCTCGCCTCTACCCGTTTCTACGACATACCATCACTAGCGTCCGCTCGGCGGTTCTTCGAGCCCTTATGACATTCTTGCAACTCGAGGGCGAAGGCACCGACGAGTGGGTTGACGGAAAGACAGTGCGTTTGATCTTTCAGAATCTGCTAGTGGAGCGGAACGAGGGCGTTTTGAAGCAGTCTCTTCAGGTCTGGTCAGAGCTTCTAAAATCTCTGGAGACTCGCGGTTCCTTCAAGTCAGAAAGCGATCTCCTAAGTCACATTAGACCCCTTATCACTCTAAGCATGGGTCCTTTTGGTGTTCCGCGATACCCGATTCCTATGGACGCTTCTTTGTTTATCAAACCCTCGGGTCTGCCTTTCCCATCAAGCGCTTCGGCTCCTGCCAGATCGTCTCCGGCTAGTAACACGCCTGAAGGAACTAAAGGTCGTCGGCGTAAGTCCGAGAAGAAAGAAGCGCCACCACCTTCTGCCCACAATGTCGACGGGCACATGCTCCAAGGCGACATTGACCTTGTGGGTGCAGATACCATGCTGAGGTCGAAGATATATGCCGCAAGAGCTCTCGGCCAGTTGCTATTTTTCTGGGACCAGAACCAACTCCCAAGTCTATGGCAACCTATTTTGGAAGGCCTCAACCATTCGGCCTCGACGTCGCAACTCGCTTCGGCCATGATAGTGGAGGAGTATGCCAAGCTCTCTGGACCTAGTGGCAGGTATGCCTCTATCTTGTGTGAGCAACTGCGCCCAATCATCGAAGGCGAGCGTCCTCCGTGGTATGGCGACATTGCTTGCTATCTTCATGTTGCTCGAGCACAGTGTCACTCCCTTCTGAACACATTCCGCGATCACGCACATGTTCCTGGCTCAAGATTGCCTGTCCTTGCCGTCATTGTTCAGGGTGATGCCGAGGCTGGACCCAATGCGTTCTCGCTGTCTGACGCCGAGAAGGTCATTGGGCCAGACTTTGAGCGACTGAAGAAGAGTCTTACTCCGGCTCAGCGCATTACCGCGCTCCAGGTCCTCAACGATACTCGCGCAACGGCTGAGAGCGCTATTAACGAGGCAAGGAATGTCAGAGAGCAAAGGGACTTGCGGGTTCGCGCTGCTGCTGCTGGCGCTCTGGTTGCTTTAAGCGACATTCCGAAGAAACCAAGCCATATTATCAAGGGAATGATGGATAGCATAAAGAAAGAGGAGAACGCCGAACTGCAACAGCGCTCTGCTACTGCTATTGCCAGCCTCGTTGAGTACTACACCACTTCCACGAAGCGGGGACCCGTCGACAAAGTTATTGGTAACCTTGTCAAGTACTGCTGCGTGGATACTTCCGAGACCCCCGAGTTTCACCACAATGCGACTCTCGAGAAGTCTATCCTCTCGCTTCGTAAAGAAGAGGACCGGCGCGATCATCCAGATGCTGCCAAGTTCGAGAGAGAGGCCAAGGAGGCTCGAATCATGCGTCGTGGCGCCAAAGAAGCTCTCGAGCAGTTGGCCGTCAAGTTTGGTTCTGAGCTCATGGCCAAGGTGCCTAACCTCGCTTCTTTGATAGAACGACCATTGAAAGAGTCTCTTACCGGCGACGAACTTCCGGCCAACATTCGTGATCCCGAAAACGAACTTGGCCAAGAAGTTGTGGATGGATTGTCCACGTTGCGTGCAATCCTTCCCAAATTTCACTCGGGACTTTACCCATGGGTGGTCGATCTCATGCCGCTTGTAGTTAAGGCGCTTCAATGCAAGCTCTCCGTTATTCGATATGCCGCTGCGAAGTGTTTCGCCACAATCTGCAGTGTCATTACCGTCGAAGGCATGACCATGCTGGTTGAGAAAGTCCTGCCTATGATAAGCAATGCTCTGGATGTCCACCACCGTCAAGGCGCCGTCGAGTGCATTTATCACCTGATTCATGTGATGGAGGACGGCATTCTGCCCTATGTCATCTTTCTCGTTGTTCCTGTCCTCGGTCGGATGAGTGATTCGGACAACGAGGTCAGGCTGTTGGCCACAACGTCTTTCGCAACTTTGGTGAAACTGGTCCCGTTGGAAGCTGGGATCCCTGACCCGCCCGGTCTGTCAGAAGAACTGCTTAAAGGACGTGACCGAGAGAGGCAGTTCATGGCGCAGATGTTGGATGTACGAAAAGTCGAAGAATTCAAGATCCCCGTGGCCATCAAAGCGGAGCTTCGACCCTATCAGCAAGAAGGTGTTAACTGGCTTGCCTTTCTCAACCGTTATAATCTTCATGGCATTCTCTGCGACGACATGGGTCTGGGTAAAACTCTGCAGACCATTTGCATTGTCGCGAGTGACCACCACCTGCGGGCGGAAGAGTTCGCTCGGACTCAGAAGCCCGAGGTTCGGAAACTTCCTTCTCTGATCGTTTGCCCACCGTCTCTCTCCGGACATTGGCAGCAAGAACTGAAGCAATATGCCCCATTTCTCAACTGCGTCGCTTACGTCGGTCCACCTGCAGAGCGGTCAAGGCTGCAAAGCGCTCTTCCCAACGCCGACATCGTCGTGACATCCTATGATATCTGCCGCAACGACAACGAGGTTCTCAATCCGATCAACTGGAACTACTGTGTTCTAGATGAGGGTCACCTTATCAAGAACCCCAAGGCCAAGGTCACGATCGCAGTTAAGCGTTTGCTTAGCAACCACCGTCTGATCCTTTCGGGAACTCCTATCCAGAACAATGTGTTGGAGCTGTGGTCTCTCTTTGACTTCCTTATGCCAGGTTTCCTTGGCACGGAGAAAGTCTTTTTGGATAGATTCGCCAAGCCCATCGCGGCCAGTCGCTTCAGCAAATCATCTTCCAAGGAACAGGAAGCGGGAGCTTTGGCTATTGAAGCTCTGCACAAGCAGGTTCTTCCCTTCTTGCTACGTCGCCTCAAGGAGGAAGTCTTGAATGATCTTCCACCGAAGATCATCCAAAACTACTACTGCGACCCCAGCGAGCTCCAGAGGAAACTGTTCGAGGATTTCACCAAGAAAGAGCAAAAGGCACTCCAGGACAAGGTGGGAAGCACCGAAAAGTCCGACAAGGAGCACATCTTCCAAGCCTTGCAGTATATGCGTCGTCTCTGCAACTCCCCCGCGCTTGTCGTCAAGGAAGGCCACAAGCAGTACAACGAGGTTCAGCAATATCTTGCTGCCAAGCATTCCAACATTCGAGACGTTGCTCATGCTCCTAAGCTCAGCGCATTGCGCGACCTGCTCATCGACTGCGGTATTGGTGTTGAACCGCCGACCGAGGGCGATCTGAGCGGCGCCAGCTATGTCAGTCCCCACCGAGCCCTGATCTTCTGCCAGATGAAGGAGATGCTGGATATCGTGCAAAGCGAAGTGTTCAAGAAGCTGCTTCCGTCCGTTCAATTCCTCCGTCTCGACGGCAGCGTGGAAGCTACCAAGCGCCAGGACATTGTCAACCGGTTTAACACGGATCCCAGCTACGATGTGTTGCTTCTGACGACCAGCGTCGGTGGTCTCGGTCTGAACCTGACCGGCGCCGACACGGTCATCTTCGTGGAGCACGACTGGAACCCGCAGAAGGACATCCAAGCCATGGACCGCGCCCATCGTATCGGCCAAAAGAAGGTTGTCAACGTCTACCGGTTGATCACTCGCGGCACCTTGGAGGAGAAGATCCTGAAGTAAGTCCAAGTCCTGGTCCGACTGCCTCAAACTGGTTACTAACCATTTCTTCTAGTCTGCAACGATTCAAGATCGACGTCGCCTCCACAGTGGTCAACCAGCAAAATGCCGGCCTCGGCACGATGGACACAGACCAACTCCTTGACCTCTTCAACCTAGGCGAAACGGCCGAAACGGCCGAGAAGCCTAGCGACGCGGCCGGCAACGAAGTCGACATGGTCGACATCGACGGCAACGTCAAGGAGAAGGGCAAGAAGGGCTGGCTCGACGACCTCGGCGAACTCTGGGATGACCGCCAGTACCAGGAGGAGTACAATCTCGACTCTTTCCTGGCTACCATGAAAGGTTGATTTTATCTGTGGTCTTTCGGTTTGCGGCTGTTGGCTTGGCTTTTTCCACTTTTATTATTTCTACTGGCGTTGGGCTGGCTTGCTTCGGAGGGATCCAGGTACCTTAAGACGAGACGAGACACGACAACATGGAGGATAGACACGCCGCACGGGACTGAAGTGAACTCTTCCTCTTTTTCCTTTCCTGTTTGTTTCACTATGATGATTTGTCCCTTTTTTCTTCCTTTTATCTAGAGCCTTCTAATTCCCTGTACTCTTACTCAATACTGTTCTGTACATATACAAACAACATCTTCATGAGTTCTACGATCGCATTATGGTTCATCTTTTCCCTACATTGATAGAGCAGGAGTCAATCGTATCGGTCCGTAGACCTCGAAATCAGGAATGCCATTCTGGTACCCGTACAGACAAAACGGAAGAAGAAACAGTCTGACCCTGAGCTGGTGGCTATCACACTTTCAATCACAATCAATCAGCCACATCCAGAAAATTCGTAGAAAAGACAAAAAAAGACACCGTCATACGCCGGTTCATAGTCCCATTCAAATGCAATCCAAGCGCCTCATATGAAACGAAGAGGGACAAAAAAGCAGACCATTGAATGAGAAACATAGATACACTAGACCGCAATGCACTGTACGATCGTAACCACTGTAGAGGTTTCAAAGGGGTAAATGGGCATGGCGATCTATTCAGGATTAGAACATTCGTTAAACAGGATACATGCAGTCATTGATCAACGACGGTTCTTGGGCTGAGCGAGCATGTTCAGGCGACTGATGCTGAGAACGCCTCGGCTTTTCGCTCTGGCGCTTGCGGGTGTACCCGTACGGCTTGAGATTGAGGAAGTGCGGACAGGGGTGTGAGTACGGGCCTTGGTAGGGCTGAGGGCGGGAGGAGCCTTTGCGGGAGATGGGGCGCTGAATTTGAGTCTCTTAGCACTACGAGGATCCGAAGTGGACTCTGCAGGAGGCACATTCTCGGTGTCCGCTTCGTCCTCAGTCGCGCGGTGTCTCTTCTTGTTACCAATTCCATGGGGCACACCAGCAATGTCTGGTAAGGTGGTTGCCTTCTTATTGCCAATTCCGTGCGGCATACCAGCAACGTCGGGAAGAGCAGTCGACTGAGCGTTGACATTCGACTGGCGGACATGACGGATGGTTGGAGTGCCATCCTGACCTGATCTGATAGCAGCAGCAGAGGTCTTCTCCGGCGTCAAGACGGGCAAGGTGGGATACACAATGTCCGACGAGGTATGGGAAACAGACACGGTGATTTTACTTGGAGAAGGAGAGGGCTGGTCCAGCTCGCTGTCGACTTTGGCGACTGGAGACTTGGTGGTGGGAGTAAACTCGACCCGCTTCTTTGGCGAAGGCGTCGGAGCGAGCTCTTCGGTCACTGAAGGCTCACGAGACGACCCCAGAAGGAAGTTGCAGGTGAAGTCCGGAGCGGCTACATGAGTGCCTGCAGCGATCTTCGTAGGGTCGCGGGAGAATAAGGGCTGATGGCGGCGAAGGATGGATTTGAGACCACCCAGTGTGGGCAAGTTGCTCTTGATCCGCGGGTTGAAATCGGTCTGAGGAGTGCGTGGGATGCCAGCAGGCTTCGAGACCGGAGAACGTGCCAGCGAAGGGATCATGCTGGTCCGAGGTGGTTTGAGGCTGACGGATGAGGTGCGTGCAGCAAAAGCTCGTGTGGGGGTCATCAAGGAACTGCGAGCAGCAGATCTAGGACGCGGGAGAGCCGTCTTTGGGGTCTTGTCTGCCTCGGTGGTCGGACGGCGAGTCGAAACGTCGTCGGTCTTGTCATGCTTGACACGCTTCGCACTTGGCGCGGCTGGGGCAGGAGAAGGCTTCGCCGTCGCCTTGGGAGGGGACTGGCGTCTGGACTCAGCTTCGTCAAAGCCCGCTTTCGAGTTGGTCCGCTTGAGAGTCGTCCCAACTGGCTGGAAGCGGCCTGGCGTAGCGCGGAACGCGGAGGGATGGTTGGCGATGGAGTCCATCTTCTTGAACTCCGCCATATGAGCGCTGCTAAAGCGGCCGGCCTTGCCTTTGGGCTGTGCAATGCGACGGTCTCTACCATTCAGTCCTTCAGCGCCACGGTCCGCAGCATTTTGCTTATCTTTTTCGAGAACCATTTGGGCCTTGATCTTGGCGACATCCTCCCGCACGCTCTCCATGAGTTTCTTTGCCTCATCGCTGAGTTGAGACTCTTGGCAGGCAAATTTGAACTCGAAACCAGGAGTGCCGTACTGGCTTATGGGGGAGGCCTTGGCTTTGCTGGGGGTATCGTGGGCCACGGTTTCCCTCACCACGTTTCCATTGGCATCTTTCTTCACAGGGTTGAAACCCAGGATTAGACCCGAGTCCGCTTGCTTCGTGGTACTTTGGTGGACCTTGCTCGGATGCATCTCGTCATGAGATGGACGGGTTATGGCGCTAGTTGGGGTCTTTGCTCCGATCAATTTCTTCGCAGTAGAGGGGACGGGTGTTTGGACACTGGATAGCTTGGTTGGAGTCTGGATGGATTTGGTGGGCGTTTTAGTGGTTGTATGAGATTCGACATCGCGGCCTTCGTCGCGTTCCATCACAGCGGGAAGCTTCTTTCTCTTCTTGCTCCCGTCTTTGTTTGTGGTGTTTTGGCCGTGTTTTTCGTTGGTGTTGTCATTGAGTGTCTTGGATTGAGACTGCGGTTCCTATAGTGAGAAGCGAGGGTTGTCAGTAACTATTGGACGTAAGGGCACTCTAGCTTCAGAGACCGTGGTAGACGGTTTCGATAGCTTCAGGCGCGTCACAATTGCCAAGAGGGGATCTCACCTCGGATGACGCCTTTTGGCCTCTGAGGCGGGCGGAACGGCGAACCGCCATGATTGTGGATATAAAGAAGGGAGATCCAACAACAGGAATTTGCGATGGATACAATGCTTAAAAGAATGATGGATGGAACCAAATGGTAAGAAAGGAGATATCGAGGAAAGGGATGGATAGCTGAGGGCGCAAGGGAGTTGAAGCTATTCTGGAAGCGAGCGTGTAAACAAAACAACAAAACGCAGGCGGTGAGCCGTTTTTGACGTCAGTTGCTACGTTCTCCCACCACACTATCATATCGTCAGCATTGCCACCATCTATCAAAACATGACATGATGCAAGAATCAGTCGATCATAATCTGTACTTGCAGATATTGTTCTCTTCTGACTATCTTCTGACTACAATCATTTGACCTTTGGATCACTAACCACAGTACTAACAGACAATCTAGTTACCCTTGGTACATACACACTATAAGCCAAATGGGTAGGTCTCCTCCTGTCCCAGAGGAGTCTTTGGTTGCACCTTCTCCAGTGGCTTGACGGCTTCAGTAACGTCGAACCAGATATACGCATCAAATTGGTTGTGGAGATACGCCTGCGAGTAGTGCGAGACCCGTTCCGTGTCCGGACGATAGATGACCCCAATGAACCGCTCCAGGCGGATTCTTTCAGCGGCCATCGCCGTACGCAAAGCAGGATCGAGGTGTTCCTTGCGCAGATCAATCACAAAGCTTGGGATCCCCGTATCGTGGGCGATGATCTCCCAGCTATCATCACGAGACGGCCGCACCTTCATTACCTGCATATCGTCGTCCCATTCGTGGGCGGCGGCCACGGTGCCAGTATGCGTGCCACATCCGAGGATTGCGACATTCTCGCGGCCAAAATTTTCTCGGATCAGCTGGCCGATATTGACCTCGTTGCGGCGCGTGCCCATACTGGTATAGCGCGCATCGCCGCAGTGCGAGTTGTGCGCCCAGACGATGGCCTTTGCGTCAGCGGGCTTGTGCCGGAACAGCCGGCGCAGCGTATCGAACATGTGCGTGTCGCGCAGGGTCCACGAGGAGGCGGAACTGTAGTACATGGCCTTGTAGTAGCGCTCCGCGTCCCGGACGAGAAACGCGTTCTGCTCGCCGCTGTGGAACTCCTCTCCGTCGCGCACATCGTGCTGCGCGTATTGCAGCCGCTTGTCTAGCAGATCGCGCAGCATCTGCAGCACCCCGGTCTCGCAGTCCTCCATCCCGCGGAGCGAGGCCAGCCCGTACGCGGAGGGTTCGTCCACCCAGGGCTGGAGGCAGCCGTACCGGCGGCGAGCCTCCTTGCCGGCGGGTGGATCCACGCGGTCCAGGTAATCGATGACGGCGCGGATGGACGCACCCATGCTGTAGAGATCCAAGCCGTAGATCCCAGCCTTCTTCTCGTCGGGCAGTTTGGAGTTGCGGTCGCGCACCCACTCGACGAGATCCTGCATCTCGCGGTTGCGCCACATCCAAGTGGGAAACCGCTTGAATGGCTCCAGGTCGCCGGCCTTGCCGCCAATGCCCGCCTTGGGGCCGGGACGTTGGCGAACGTAGCGATCGATGGCCTCGGCGTCGGGCCAGTCCGCCTCGAGGGCCACCATCGTGTAGCCATGCTGCTCGATGAGGCGCTTGGTTATCTCCGCGCGCGCGGCGTAGAATTCCGACGTGCCATGGCTGCCGTCGCCTAGTAGCACAACCTTGTAATTTCCGAAGGTGTCAAAATGCGAGCCGAAGCTGGGGTCCGAGATGGGCGGCAGCGGCTGGGCTGCCTCGGTGAAAAGTTGCTGGAGTTGCGCCATCATGGGCCGAGAGGTAAAGAATCGTTGAACAAACTGCATTAATCAGGTCATTGTCGATGGCAAGGAGTTAGATATGCGCCTCGACTGCTATATACTGGAATATTAATACTAGTGGTGGCCCAGCGGCGAATGAAATCACCTCCTCGTCAGCTCTCTATCATCATGACTTCACCCGCAGCATATGGTACCAAGGACCTCAACAACGCATTATTATATCGTGTTACCCTGTAGATAATAATCCAAATCTCTTGCAAATGAGCAATGAATAATCTCCGCAGAGTCATTCCCAGATTTAGATCTAAATCCATATCAGCTAGAGTACTAACACTAACAACAAAAGCACAAAATCGCACCCTCACAATGGCCACCCCCATAAGCAGCCCATCCCCGCGGCTCGACCGCTTCCAACAAGCCGTCGAATCCCTCTACGGCAGCTTCTCCTCCATCCCAGACCCCTCCGCCTGGACCCCGCCCCCTAACTCCGGCGGCCACCGCGGCCGCTACCTCTGGACCGACGCCTTCGGAGTCCTCACCCTGATAACCATGCACCGGGAATACGAGAAGTCGCTGGCGAAGGCAGCCCAAGCGCCCGACGATCGGTACCTTGTCCTCGCACGGCGCGTCGTGGAAACCGTGCACGAGGTGCTAGGCTCCACGCGCGACGGCAAGGCACGGCTGCCCGGCGCGACGGCGGAGAACCCGCTCGGCGGCGGGCTGCGCATCGGGAAGATGGACGAGCGCGGCCCGGACGCGGACGGCCAGTACCACCATTACCTGACGGTGTGGATGTTTGCGCTGAACCGGCTGTCGCTGGCGACGGGGGACCCGGCGTACAACGAGCAGGCGGTAGCGCTGGCCAAGGCGATCCACCCGCGGTTCTTTGTGAATCGCGAGTCTGCGCGCCCGCGGATGGTCTGGAAGATGGCGATGGATTTGTCGGCGCCGCTGGTGGCTTCCGAGGGCAATCTGGATCCCATCGATGGGTATGTGGTGTTTCGGCTGCTGCAGGGGGCGGCGAAGCAGGCCGGTGGAGGGGCGGTGCTGGCCGAGGAGATTGCGGACTACAAGCGCGTGATGGAGCGGAAGGGGCAGCATTTTGTGTCGAGTGATCCGCTGGACCTGGGGATGACGCTGTGGACGGCGCATTGGTTCTCGGAGAAGGAGGACTGGGCGGCGAGGTTGGCGGGGCGGTGCTTTGAGCAGATTTGTACTCGCTGCCTGATTCATGTCGCCGGGAGATGAAGCTGATGGACACAGATGATCTGTTTGAGATCAACCGCTACCTCGAACGCAATATCAAGTACCGGCTGGCGTTCCGTGAATTCGGGACGTGTATGGGTATCCAGTGCCAGGCGGAACAGACCACCGAGAAGGATCGCTCAGTCGACCTCAAGGTGTACGCCGATGCCATCATCGCGGCCTGGGATCCGTACATGGAGCTGTCTCTCGCGACCGACGTGACGCCAGACGATCTGCGGCCCATCACTCGGATCATGTATGCCGCGGCGTTGATTCCTGGAGGTGAGTAACAACAGCCAGAAGAGAACATGGGGAAACTGACAGCGGATGCAGCCTTTCGCAGCGGGTATCTGGGTCCTGAGCCGGAGTGTCCAGAAAAGTAGGTAAGGCAAAAAAAATGGTGATATACACGGTTGCATTCAGAGTATATATGCCGATGCACAGAATGAAATGAAAAGAAGTCCCTACTCGTACACAAAGTCTAGCATGCATATGTATCGTCATTCCTATACTCCGGGAATTCCAACGATATCCCTCCACGACGGCACGCTCAACGGCAAGACGTATACAACGTAGACCGTCCCAAGAGCAATCAACAGCCCAGACCACTACGCCATTAGCAATGCATGACCTCTCTTCCCGGATAAGAAAACATACCTTTTCCAACCACGTGTGGAACCAGATCGAAGTCATGAACAGCATCCACCATCCCAACCCCACAACAGCCCCAATCAACCGTAAAGACCAAGTCCGCATCCAACCCCCCTGCTCCTCCTCACTCTGAGCTTGAACCTTCTCAACCTCACTCTGACCATCAACCTCCCCATCCACCTTCTTATCAGCCTCCGCCCCCACGGAAACAGCCCTCATCGCCCCAACAGCCTCAAAAACCAGCATCGACGTCGCAAGCACAAGCATAAACACATGCCCACTCACATCATGGCCCCCCGTCCACGAACCCCCAGCCGCCTTACAAGCTGCCGCCGTAAACATCTTCTCGAGACCCGCAGAAACAGACCCCGCCTGCGCAACAGCCACAGCCGGGTTTCCTGACGTCTCCGCCACAACGCGCTCGCATTTCCCGCCCGTAATCACAAAACTGCGGTCGACAATCGGGGGCCCAAAGAACCACTGTGTCGTTAGGTACCACACTAGCGTAGCCAGGCTGTATCGGAGGGCGGCCTGGGCGAGTCGGCGCGGTTGGTGTGCGGAAGGGGCAGTGTAGGCGGGCTGGGAGACAAGCAGGGACAGGAAGGCGAGTGTGGTCCAGAGCCAGCCAACCTTGACAAAGTAGAGATTGAAGATGTTGTCCTTGCGAGCGAAGTAGTTGACCGGGTTTGGAGGGGAAAGGTTCACGTTGGCGGCGATGGAGGGGGCCAGAGAAGCGGGACGCGCGTAAAGGCTTTGTCGGGAGCCTCGGGCTGTGGGAGAAAGGATGGAAAAGAGTGATCCCACAAGTAAGGTCACTGGATAGATAAGAAGAGCCGTCGTTGGAGGCCGCATTGTGGTGCTAGATGCAGTTGAAGGGGGTGATCGCTGTCCCGAGGCCATCTTGCCGGTCTATGTGTCTTGCGGTCAAAAATCTATTTCTTTTTTTCTGAGCAGAACGGAACTCGAATTTGGAAGATAGAAAGTGTAACGTTATACAATGGACAACGAGACAGAACTAGTCCAACATCATGTATCTCTCTATATGCAGTGTTGGATGAAGAAAGATTCAAGGATGACGTCGGTGTGTGTCTGGCAAAGATTCTTGGCTTGTGATGGTCACAACAACCGGACTGTGGCAGCTTATGTCATACACTCTATCATACACCAACAAACTAGACCGTCTCTACTCAATTGAAAGTACGCAAGTCACAAGAAGACCAAGGCATTTTCAAGAGAATAGACTTGCTAGAGCCAAGAAAGAGAGGACACACTACTGAAGAGACTAAAGCAGAAGGGCAATGGCAGATTAAGAAACATGGTTTCCAAGAGTACAATGAACTCAACTGTACAATCACACCATTCTGGCAACCGTAAAAGAGACTATTAGACAGAAGGATAGTGTATAGTTACCTCCAGACCAGGGCATCTCTAGGTAATCTAGAACAATATGCGAACCCTGATGAATGTTAGTATTCACCAACTTCATTTCCTTAAGTTGATTCTTCACTACTATCCAATCTTTGCGGAACTCCCTAGAACTATAGTAGTCACTACATGTACTACCCCTTTGTTTCAATTCACTAGATAAAAAGGACATGAATCATAATGCACGATGATCAAAGTGTTACTATACCCTCTATATCAAGCTAATCTAAGCTATCTGCTGAACACGTGCACTCTATAACGCTATCTCACCTGTATCTACAGCTACAGCTATAGCTACTTCTACATCTACGTCTACAGAATACATCTACAACAATATGAACACTGCTATCACTGGCAGTATGCAGCAGCAGCAAGCAGAGTTCCAGGTTCCAGCTGAACAAAGCTCCCAGCATGGTCATCGTGAGCCAGATCAGCATCAAGGTAGGCCTTCTGCTACCAGCTCATCCCCAGACTGATCTGACTGCCGATCGTAGCAATGGAGTCCACCTTTCCTTCGGAACTGGCCTTGTGCTACGAAACACTGAGTGTCAAGGAGGCCGACGAGAGAGCCGATGGCCACGTGGAGCGGAGCGAAGAATCCCAGGTTCGTAAGGACATGGCCGTTCCCGTTTCTGCTCTGGAAGCGGCCGTAGAGAAAGGTAAGGCTGTGCTCAGAGAAATCCTCGGTGTTTTGAACCAGACCCATGTCTCGACCGGAGATACGGACTGGCGGGACGCTATCAGTGAACTGCTTGAATCTGCTAGAAAACCGAAAGTCGTGATTGGGGTGCTCGGGGCCACGGGCGCCGGCAAGTCGTCCCTCATAAATGCGATCATTGATGAGAAGGGGATGCTGGCAACGAACTGTATGCGTGCCGCCACGGCGGTCGCCACCGAGGTCGCTTATAACGATGGCCCTCGGCGATACAAAGCGGAGGTTCAGTTTATCCAGCCTGAGGAGTGGAAGCGAGAGCTGGAGGTCATGTGCCATGAGATGCTGGACGAGAATCCGGATATAAACGCAATCAAGACTACCAGGGAGAAAATCAAGGCTGTGTATCCTGAACTGGATAACGGGAATCCCGCGGATACCACGATGGAAAGGCTGCTTGGCCATCCGCGCATCGCGAACCTGCTGGGATCCTCGCTCTTGATCGAGGAAGACGACACCCGAATCTTTGCAGATAAGCTCAAGCCTTACATTGACAGCAAGAGTGGAACAGCGCGGGAGGACGCAGGTCTCTGGCCGCTTACCAAGACAGTCCGTCTGTACGTCAAAGCCCAGACGCTAGCAACGGGCGCGGTCCTGGTGGATCTTCCGGGCTTGTACGACTCAAACGCTGCTCGTGTCGCTGTCGCAGACGATTATCTGAAGCGCTGTGCGGCCCATTGGGTCGTAGCACCCATCAACAGAGCTGTGGATGATAAGATCGCCCAGTCGTTGGTCAACAAGCATCTCAAGTCGCAGATGATCTTCGATTGCATATGCGATAGTTTAACATTCATCTGTACGAAGACCGATGATATTTCTGTCACTGAAGTCCAAATGGGTCTGGGGCTCGAAAGTCCGTCATTTGATCGAGAGGAGAAAGAGAAGCATGATTTGTCGACCGAGGTGCAAATGCTCGACGAGGAAAAGGCGAGAGTCGAGAGGTTACTAAATGAGACCCAAGATCACATCGACAGCCTTGAAGATGGTTCTACAAACTATCCACAGCCATCTTCCCTCAAGAGAAGATGGAAAAGCGATGCTGAAAGCATTCTCGCTGAATTCCCGGTCAGTCAAGCATCCGCCTGTGCAGCAATCACGCCAGAGGGTTCTGAAGCCGCTCAAACTCCAACCCCAGCCTCAAAAGAGGAGATCCTTCGTGAGCACAAGGCCAGAAAATCGGAACTTCGCAAACGACGCAACTACCTCATCCAACTGAGAAAGGTCAAGGGAGAACACTTGGAGGCACTCACAGTTGATCTGGCCCAGAAACACGTGAGCAATATCCAAACTTCCATCCGGGAACGCAACAATTATTCCAAGAAAGAGATCACCAGGCACTTTCAGCACTTGAATCGCGAAAATGACAACAGGATCCTGCATGGCAAGAGTGAACTCGAGGGGGCGCTTCCTGTTTTTTGTGTCTCAACCAAGGCATACCAGAAGCTACAAGGCCGGCTTCAGAAGAACGAGCCCGGAGTGGCCGGGTTCACCGAGTTGGAACAAACTGAGATACCCCAATTGCAAGCTCACTGTATCCGTTTGACGGAAGGACCACGAAAGGCGTCAAGTAAGCTCTTTCTAATTGAGTTGAAGAAATTGTTGCAGTCAATGTCGCTTTGGTCCTCGGCGACCGGTTCAGCTCATGTCCTACCGGATGCAAAAAAGCAGGAGATGGAGGCTGGATATAAAGAAGCGGTGACAAGGATGGAGAAGGCAAGTTTTTCTCACTACCCATTGATACCAAGCTGACAATCTCAGGGAATGCGAGAATTGCAAGATCAACTCTTTGCTAGCCTGCGCAGGACTTTTGCAGGAAACATATTGCAGAAATTGGGTAAGTGACGACCATGTATACGCTCCGACTTGGACTAACGGAATAGAAAATGCTTGTCAGCATGGCACTCAGGGATTCAGAGAAGTAGTCGCGAATTGGAATGAGGAAGTTCATTGGAGCACCTACCGAGCCATATGCCGTCGCAGCGGAGTCTGGAAAGGCTATGTAGGTCATCCCCGCCAGATAGCCACGAAATGCTAACTGTCCGTCAGAACTGGAACAGCAAGGTGTAAGTAATGCTCGAAGCACATTGTTGATGGACAAGGGAGACTGAACCGTCGACAGGGCCCACCCTATGCTGGAATATATCCGCTCCTACTGGATCAGGTCAGATCTCGAATACCATGAAGACGATCGGCTGCTGACTGCGCATTAGGATGGTCAACGAAGAGATCCCATTGCATCTCCAGATCTTTTCCCAGAATATCGGAACATGCCTTGACATCTTCCACAAGCATATAGTCTCTTCTGCAGATGAGACTATCGCGCATCAGAACAATACAGAGCTGCAGAAAACTCTAGGCACGGCCGCCAACTCCTTGAGACACCAGGTCAAAGAGACCGAGGAGTCACTCAGAATCCAACAGAAGACTGCGAACCGATTGTTTATCGGAGTGATTGCAGCAGAGCTTGAAGGAACGTTTTGGCGGTGCGCGAACCAGGTCCGGTATGTCCTGTTTATCCTCTGTGCGTGTCGTGAGCTGACGGAGTAAGGGACTGGGATGCTCAAGCGGATGCGAGCTCTGATGGAACATGAAGCCGAAGTGAATGGAGCACAGATCCTGGAAAAGAGTGCCCAGCGAGCGTCTGAAGAGCTATCCAACATATTGAAACAGACCGAGGACAAAATCACTTGTATGGTCCGCGCAACCGTGAGAGAGCTGGCGCGCGATTACCACACAGCGATTATTGCACCACAAACCTCCGAGCAAGAGATGCAACTGAAATTAGAAGTGGCTGAAGCCATTCGCAAAGCAGAGCAGCATCTCATGTTGGACGAACTGAACCTCAGTGTCGAGGATGGTCAAGCAACTACGAACGACTCTCTCGGCAGCGGTGGAGACGGGGCCATAAGCCAAAGAGCAGACTGGGGATCAGGAGGGTCCAGGGAATGATTTATCTGATTCGAAATGTCGGTCAGATCTGAGTACTAACAAAATGCCGTGCTCCATTCCAAACCTGGGTTCACCCATCGAAGCCGCAGGATCGGGTACGTGTCGACCTGGGACTCGCTTGTGGGCGCTTGGGCCAGTGGGTGATTCGCCAGTAGTCAATGCTTCAGCTGCTGTCAAGCACTATCTAGATAGTAGTTAGTCTAGATCATCTGTTACTTGCAGATGGTTCATCATTTTCATGCAATGGAAGATGGAATATCTTCTGTTTTGATCCATAGTAAAGGGACAACGTCGGGCCTGTCTAGGCTCTTCATCTCGAGGACTTCGTAGATGGACTGACTCTACCTGCGTCAGAATCATAGCTAAACGCCAGTACTTCTGTCCCGTCCACGGAAGAATCGACGAGCTTCCACAAATGCACGCTAAGCCAGCAGCAGCACTTGATCACTTTTACCAGCCTCCTGGTTTTCTCTGTGAGGCTAAGTAAACGGGGTAGAGGATTGATCACAAGATAGATAGATATAATCCAGAGGACAATCGAGAAGATAACAAGTCATCATTAATATAATAAACTTCTCTCTGCTAATATTGTCGATGAATTGACAGCTCTCTCACTTCTCTGCTATACCACAAGGTAACACAGTGGTTACTTCAGAGCACATGACTGTAGCATCAGCAGCATCAACAATTTCTATTATGGAATCCTTCTCCTCCTAACGACATCGCATTCACGATCCTGTGAAAACACCGTGAATTGATTTTGGATATCTGATATTCTTCTTGATCTCTTCCTCCCCATCTCTATATTATTCACTATCGCCGACTCTCACCAGTATACCAGCGGAAGAACATCAAGATAAACATTTCCACCGCCTTCGTTGACATTCGATACGCTCAGCCAATCAGCGTCTGCAGTTTCTTATAACCAAGAAAAAGACCAGAACAGGAAAACGCCGCAAGAAGAAAAAGAGATGGTTCTTCCTCAACTCTTTGCCCGTCACAAATCCAAGCGGTCCACTTCATCCAAAGAGGATTCGAAGAAGACTTCATCGCCAAAAAGTCCTCCTCTATCGACGGAGACTCTTCCTTCTCGGACGTCTTCGACTTCGACTTCTTCGTCTCGCCACACCCCCAGTCATCATCCTCATCTTCGCTCTCCCTCCACACCCACTGCCGACTCCCGTTCCTCTTCCTCATCATCCATTCATCCACCGTCCTCTCACTCCTCGAGATCGTCCAAATCCAAGTCGAGATCTCAGACCTCCGCTAAATCCAAATCTTCCTCGTCCAAGGACGCCTCTGCTGCGAGGTTCAGTTTCCCTACTTCCCGGCTGTCCTCCACCTTCGATCGTTACTCCCGCGATCCCGACTTTCATCCTTTGAATCTTCCCCCCGACGAGCTACGTCGTTTATCCGCCATGGCTTCTGCCGCCGATCGAAGTTCAATGGATATCGATTCGCCTGCCTCTCCATCCCAGAACACCAATGGTGTGAACGGCGCTCAGACTGACCGGACTCCTACCCCGCCGCCGCACAAGTCCAATGGCTCGGTCGCCGAAGCCGACTCATTCAAATTGGCGGGCAATAAATTTTTCAAGGACGGAAATTACAATCGCGCAATTGAAGAGTTCACCAAAGGTGAGTATGCATTTTCGCATCTAAAGTATTCCACCAGGCTAATTGGTTAGCCATTGAAATCAACCCCACTTCCTCCATCTACCTCTCCAACCGGGCTGCGGCATATCTCTCTGCCAACCGCTACCTCGAAGCTTTAGAAGATGCCGAGCGCGCACTGGAGCTGGATCCCGACAACTCCAAGATCATGTATCGTCTGGCCCGCATTCTGACTGCGTTGGGTCGTCCGTCCGAGGCTCTCGAGGTTTTGTCCCGTGTCCAGCCCCCTGCCTCTGCGACCGACCGTGCCGCTCCTGAAAAGATGCAGCGCTTCATCAAACAAGCCGAGGAAACCTTGGCGGAAGATCGAGGTGTGTCGATGGTGCTATTCTGCATTGAGCAGGCACGGCAGCTGCTGGGCCGTGGAGTCAAAGAACCCCGCAAGTGGACTCTCCTGACTGCCGAAGCACAACTGAAGATGGGTAATGAAAACTCGTTGAGGAAAGCGCAGGATATCGCCATTTCTATGCTCCGCGAGAACAACCAGGACCCTGATGCCCTTATGATCCGTGCTCGTGCGTACTACGGCTTGGGAGAGTCCGAACAGGCTTTGAAAACGCTCAAGATGTGTCTGGGTCTGGATCCAGACATGAAACCGGCAGTGAAGTTGCTGCGCACCGTCCAGAAGCTTACACGCACCAAAGAGGAAGGAAACAATGCTTTCAAGGCCAAGGATTACCGCAAGGCTATCGAGTTGTGGTCCGAAGCGCTCGAGGTGGACCCTCAGAACAAGGACATGAATTCCAAGATTCTGCAGAACCGAGCTCAGGCATACATTAACCTGAAGGAATACGAGAACGCCATCAACGACTGCAATGAGGCCCTGAGACTGGATCCCTCGTACGTCAAGGCGCAGAAGATGCGTGCAAAGGCCTACGGTGGCGCCGGTAATTGGGAAGAGGCTATCCGCGACTACAAGGCGGTAGCAGAGGCCAACCCCGGTGAGAAGGGCATTCAGGAGGACATTCGCCGCGCAGAGTTTGAGCTGAAGAAGGCTCAACGGAAGGACTATTACAAGATTCTTGGTGTCTCCAAGGATGCATCTGAGTCGGACATTAAGAAGGCCTACCGCAAACTCGCCATCCAGTACCACCCCGACAAGAACCGCGATGGCCAGGCCGGTGACGAGAAGTTCAAGGAGATTGGAGAGGCCTACGAGACTTTGATCGACCCTCAGTAAGTTTCCCGTCGGCTTGATCGTTCTGGCAGATTCTAACCTCATATAGGAAGCGCGCTGCTTACGACAATGGCGATGATCTCATCGACCCTGCTGAGATGTTTGCAGGCCGTGGCTTCGGTGGTATGGGAGGTATGGGCGGCATGGGAGGCATGGGTGGTGCCACTCACATCAACATCGATCCCAGCGTTCTCTTCAACATGATGAACGGCGGCGGAGGATTCGCCTCGGCCGGCGGCCATCCCTTCGGCGGCCACCACCACCAGTCTCAGGGCTTCCCTGGTGGATTCCCTTTCTAAACTCAGACTCAACCCGACAGTTTCAACCACGATAGATGAAAAAGGTCGTGACGCAATGTGATTGATACCACAACGACGATAGAACTCTTCTGCTTTGGTCTTGCCTCCTTCATCTGCATAACAGGCCGCTCCATGCATACGTGTGTCGTCTTTCAAAATTTTCCCTGGGTGCATTGCATTGATGGTTTCGGACTGCTCCTGATGCCTGATGCGATAGATTGGCGTGCCTTTTGTTTTCATTTCTTTACCATTTTTGTTTCCCACTTTATCGGCCTGATGGTATCCGGGTCGAGGTTCTTTGTCGTTTTGTTTCACTGGCTTGCCACGTATCAGTGGGATTCGAGCAGAAGCAGATCATTTGATTCGAGGCGTGGCGGAAGTCATTGTAAGGCGTTATATACTCCATGTACGGTTACTGATTTTGATGGGGCATGATGATGCCTCTTTGATATGAATGACACATTTTCTATGTTCTCGATTATTTGTTGGGATGTGTCTGATAGACATGAATATTCGAGGCTATGCCTTTGCTGATCATTCACGCGAGCAGACGAAGACTTCTCTAAATATCGAATCATTTTACCCAACATAGAACAGGATTGATCCCTCCTTGGACTTGAAGGTTACATCCATCCATCCTCCTGGCCTTCTTTCATCGTCGTCGTCGTCGTTGTCGTTTTTCTCGTTGTCATCTTCATCCTCATCATCGGTTTCGTCATCGTAATCATCCTCCTCATCATCACTAATCCTCCCCGTCCCAACCATCGCATCAACGATCCCCTCTCCCGACTCCACAACTTCCATACCCTCCCCCTCGAGCCTTACACTCCCACCTTCAGTACGCACATGCACATTCCCAGCCCAAGCAGCCGGATATGCAACCTCCATCGACCCCTTCCCCGCAACATGACACCCAGCCACAACGTAATTAGCCTCCACCCCAGCCTCGGGTTTGGAACCCAAGACATAAGGCTCGGTGACATGAACCCGCTGCTCACCGGCTCCAGTCTCCGTCGCGATCGACACATTCCGCCACATCTCCCTGGTACAATCCTCACCAACACCACCAATAACCGGAATGAGCATAGCAGTGATATCACCACCACCCGAAATCAGCCGCGCGGAGCGCGTAAAGACCATCCGGCCTGCGATGGGGCCGGATTCTGTTTGGATGTCGAGTTCGTAAAGCCTCGCCGGTAGCTCGCAGGTTTTCATGATCTCGCTATGTGACGAGTCGTTAGTTTCCTGGTACAGCTTCATGGATAGTTCGAGGCCCGGGAGGACGGCTGCCTCCGGAGCGGTGAATGAGACGGTGACCGTCCCTGAGACGGAACGGATATGCAGCCGTGCTGGCTCGAATGGGTGGTCTGGGTGGGCTGATTGCGGGGCAATGGCTACGGTGATGTTACCGGTTGTTGTGCTGAGGGAGAGGGAGTCGTAGAGGGGGTACACGCCGTGTATGTTCCCGGTGTTGGAGTCGATTGTTATTCTCCGGTCATTGGATGCAGTTGCAGTAGTATCCTCGGCGCTGATGCTGGTGCTGGTGTCTGGGAGATCACCGGTTTTGGGCGACTGCTGCTGCTGTCAGTAGTGTTTACCATCATAGTTGCGCGCAGTCTCACCTTCGCACAATACCTAATCACATTATAAAGCACTACGCTGAACCAAACAGCCAGAACAGCCTTGAGAAGGAACAGCAGACAGGTCCTCCTGAAGCTTCTGGATTGAGAATGACTCCGCTTGAACCTGGGAGTCCATTCATCGTCAACCCCGAAAGTCGAGCTTGGTCTGGGGCTCGGGCTCGGGATGAGATTCTTGACGTCTCCCATCTCGAGCTCTTTCATCCCGTCTGCTGGTGCGGTTTCATAAGCTTCAGACTTGGATAAGAGGGGAGCTGTGCTATGAGATTGATCCTCGTCTAGCATCGACGGCTGATAGGTGGGTGCGGAGTCATGGTGATGGTCTGAAGGACCGAGCCCAGACATGATACCGTTTTATTTAGATTGATACTTTCTCGAGTATTGATTTGGAGGATGTAGTATGGAGCGGATAGCTGGTAAGAAGCTCGCAGAAGAGCGTTAGTAACTTGCAACCTGGGGTCGAATATACAGAATTGTAGATTACGACATGATGAAACGTGAAGACGAGCGGTTTGGTCTATTCAATGGTGGAGCGGTGACGCGAATACGATGTGATGATGATGGTTATGATGGTAAGTAGAAGCTGATGAGGTTGAAGGTGAGCACGTGGGTGCGTCACCTTGAGACATAACGTCACCCGCTACCGACTATCTACAAGGATAAATAGGTACTTTTGTATGGACGGATGCTCAATTATGTACACGCTATATGCAGAAAAACGAGGATCTCAATAACAAGGTCATTATGAAATAGAAACAGTACAAGTCGATCATAACTAGAACTCATGAGGGGAATCTTGGGGTATTCATAACGAATGTGCTGTCGAATATGCTGTTGAATATGCAATGGTGATGAATGGACGGAGAAACGAAAATAAAAACGTAATAGACAGATCGCTCAATAGCCAAAGACTATGCAACATAACCAAGGTTCCCCAGCAGCGTCCGGCATTCGTTTCCGGCCATGCCCAACACACCCAGTGCTCTGGCCTGTGTGCCCTTGCGCAGACGCTGCAGGCCCACGGCAACCTTCCACCCTTCGGTCTCCTGCAGAACGAAGACATAACGGCGACCTTCCTGGTCGCGGATGCTGGCGCGGAGGACATGCAGCCCTCCATGCTCCTCCTCGTCAGGTGATGCCAGTCGGCACTTGTTCTTGCACACCTTCAGAAAGTTCACAAGATTCGCGTCCGACTCCTCCGGGGTTGGTTCATTGGTGCTCCGCCGGAAGAACACGTTGGCTGGCTTAGGGTTTGGACGGCCTTGCGCCGTCGCTCCGTACTGGGGACACCACACCTCCACCAGTTTCATGGTCCAGGCCTTGATATCCCATTCGCGCTGAGGTACACCTCGGATGTCGTCGTCAATGAAGAGTCCCTCGGTAGTGATGCGCAACACCAGTCCATCGGTCACCATCCCTTGGCCAGAGACCAACTGCGCCACAGGACTCCGCAGGAAGGCGTTATTGAAGGCATAAACGCCTCGGATGACAATCTTGTCCGGATCTTTGGTCGAGTAGGCGCCTCGAGTTGAAGGCGGCGGAGTCGTCCGGGCTGTCGACTGCGACGGGGCATAGGAGGATTCAGAATAGACCGAAGAACCTGATGTACCCGCATAGGGCCGACGAGGTCGGTCATAGGGCCGGAAGGAATAGGCATCATCCTCGTCTGCAGTCGTTGGCGTACGGGCACTGCCGGAATACGCTGGCTTTTTTGGAGATGGGGTCCTGGGAGCCGTTGACCCTGTTGCTGATTTGTTGCTTGCTGCTTTCGCCGCTGCCTCCTCTTTAGCTGCCGCTTCCTGGGCATCTTTGGCCTTCTTTTCAGCATACTTCTTCGCAGCAGCTTCCTTGAGCGCGGCAAATTTGGCATCGGCCTCCTTTTTAGCAGCGGCCTTTGCGGCAGCCTCTTTCTCAGCGGCCTCCTTCTCCGCCTTGGCCTTTGCTTCTGCGGCCTCTTTTTCGGCTTTGGCTTTGGCTCTGGCCTCTCTTTCCTTGGCCAAAGCAGCAAGTCTTTGAGCTCGAGCTTCAGCCACTTCCCGCTCTGCCTTTGTCTTGGCTTCCGCAGCCTCTCGCTCGGCCCTTTCTCTGGCCTCGGCTGCTTCACGCTCAGCCTTGGCTTTCGCTTCGGCAAGTTCGCGCTCGATCTTTGCTCGAGCTTCGGCCGCCTCCTTTTCAGCTCGCTCCCTCGCCTCCCTTTCGGCTTTTTCCTTCGCCTCGGCCAACTCTCTCTCGAGCTGCTCTCTGCGCTCTCGAAGCTCCCTCTCCATGGCCTCGCGTTCCCGCTGCTTCTGCTTTTCTCGTGCTTCGGCTTCCCGTTTTCGTTTGAATTCTTCCATCTTGCGCTTGAGCTCCTCCTTTCGCCTCGTTTCTTCACGAGCTCGTTCCCAATCTTCGCCGCTCTTACTTTTGCTTTCGCTCCTGCCAGAAGTCGGCTCTGCTTTCTCCGGGCCCGGGTCGGCATTCGGAGGAGGTGTATGGGGTGGGGCCCCGGCATTCGGCGGTGGGGGCGCGGCGCCAGCGCCATACTGATTCCCGGGATACGGGCCTCCTGGGCCGGGGCCGGCTCCATAGTTACCGCCGCTGCCGTAGGTCCCTTGCGGCCCTGAGTTAGGGCCGCCGAAATTGGGCCCTCTCGAATAGTCCGGGCCAGAGCCTGCACCTGAGGACTGATGGTAAGAGCCGCCACCGCCGGCAGCTCCATGTCCACCAAATCCAGCCCCACCAGGTCCCCCAGGGGCCCCTGGCCCAGACTGGCGGGATTGAGAGCTACCTCCGGAGTCTCGGTTTGCACCGGCTATATGTGCTTGGTATGCACCAAACCCCCATCCCGCAATGCCGACGATGGCCAGTAGGACCGCAACTCCCATTCCGCCACCATTGGCAGCTGTAGCAAGATACCATGCCTTCAAAATGGGAGAAAGTGTCTGCCAGATGTAAACCACCGCTAATGCGGACACAGCGCCGGCCAGGAAGCTATTCCGGTGAGTTTGTAGCGAGGGAAGGTATAGAAAACCAGAGCCCGAGGAATGAGGTGGGATGATAAAGATATCATAGTTTCCGTCCGGAAGACCGGACCCTTTCTTAAAACCGTGAGTGGTGTTCGGATTCTCGCCGTGAGGCGGTGGAGGCGGCGGAGGGCCGTCCATTGTCAATCCTTATGGGGGTTCGGACTACAGCGCTGGGCCCTTGAGCAAGTCTTTGGATTGCCGCGACTGAGATCAGGATACCGAACGCTGTTGACACTTGTTATTGATGAGATAGACCCGTTCGCAGCAGTCTAGTGGGCTTGGTTTTGAATGTGTTCTTGTATTGTTGGCAGGCTGGAGGCATAGACGTAATCGACGATTTGTTCATATTCTCAGAATCATTGAGAAGGCACTGAGGCGTTGTGGCCTCCAGCGCTTGACCTGCTTCTGGAAAGCCGTTGTCAGCGTCCGAAATGGATTGTGGGCACGATTGCAAACGAAGTACCACTTACATGATATATATGATAAACGAAAATCCAGCTTGTTGCGCTCCGAGGTTATCCCAGAAGAACAGCTGGAAGACTATGGAATCGATGTGGGTGAGGATGGAAGTGGGATGGAGAGGGAAAAGACCAGGCGGCAATGGCGAGGAGGCTGTGAAAGGTGTGATTGATCAGCGGCAGCCAAAGGATTGGTAGATAGATACTACATACGTAATGTTGGCAGGTTATTGCCGATTAATTCATCAAACCCGAAGGACCGTTGAGACTCGTGTAACAGAGAGAAGAATGGTTATCTTCTGTGTATAATTTGACAGAGTATTTATTGACATATGGACGACCTGGGGAGTGCTTGTATATATGACTCTTGCGATATATAGATCTGACAATTTTCAACACGTGCGAAACAGAATAGTACCGATCCGCCACTGAATTTTACTCTACGCACAGCGAGAAATCGAGAATGAGATAGGGATGCTTCAAGTTATTGCAATCACTAATAGACCTCTTCATCGGTGCGCAGGCTCAGATTCTGGCCGGAATCATTATAATATGACCAAGTATCCGCTCCATCAGTGTACCACAATGCCCTTCATGCATTTCTTTATCGAGGTTCAACTCTGAATAAACTCTTCAAAAGAATTCTCATGTCTCTGATTTAACAACTCTTACAATCAAGCTTAACCAGGCCATTCTCCGAAGAATGTGCTGGTTCTGACGGTTGGCGCATTCTTTGGCAGTCGTCAGTGACGCTGCCACGGCTTTGTTTGTTTTGAATTTCCTCCATTTGGCGATAGCTCGATTTTCATTACTGGTTGTTGATTGGTTGTGGGTGCTTGCATATATTTATGTATAAAATATTACATAATATTATGCCTGCATTCATGGGCTGAATATCTATGCCTCTTCTCAATGCTGTTTTCCCCTGATCCTAGGTTAACCCCCCTCTGGAGTGGGTTTTGTTGGGGATTTTCATGGCACTAGCAACATGTCCAAGGAAAGTTAACTGTATATGTTCTGTTTGAGCCCTATGCAGCTTTGAAACGCAGACAAAAGCCAACGATTGGACCTTCGATTATCACTCGAAGCATATAAACAGCGAGGCATTGAGCTGAGCAAGTGATCTCGAGACCATGGCTGCCATTGGGATCCCCAGGAGCCAGATATCCTCTACCATCGATCAGTCAAGAGGAACGTGGACTATTGTCGAGATCAAGTTAGCATCATCGGGGTCGGTCGGAAGATGGCCGGGGAATCCCATGATCAACAGGTGATGGTGCCTGATGATCATGAGGATTGCGAGACACAATCAGTACATCCAATTAATACAGATGCTCTTCAATTCATATGATAGACGAGGAACCTCCAGCTGGAAACACGTAGGGAGATGATCCAGAGATATGACACCAACTCGAGAACCTCAACTAGTACTTGTAGATAGTGACGAGTCGTGGCGGTCGGGGAAATTGGGAGCCGCCTGCCAACCAACCTCTCAAAACGGTTAGATTCCTCCTCCGCCATCATCACCGCTGCCTATGTACCTACGGAGGACTGAAGTTTACTACGCAGTACTGTTAGTTACTCACTGGCATTGCTGCTGCTGGTCAGTCGAGGTTCACTTGGACCAAGATTTGCTTGTCAGCGTCTCCATCTTCTCTGGCTATCCCACACTTCTTACTACAGAGTACACTCTCTCGAATCACTGCCCTTTTTCCAGTGGGGGCTGTCAGGTACCGCCTCACATCGCTTCTCCGCCTCCCCGCCAACTGTCCTTATTGTAGATTGTTCTGCTTCCACGCTGAACCAAGATCTATTTCTCTCATTGTGTTTTTCTGTCCTCCTCTATGCAGCGACGATAGATTACTCAGTTTGGCCGTATCGACACTAGCCCTTCCGAGGGCTCACAGTCCATCATGTCCTCCTACCATCCCCCTACCCAAACCTACCAGTCTCACGCCGCTCCTCCCCGGCCTATACAGACCTTCAACCCAGTTGCCGCTGTGACTGCTCCAGCAGGTACCTTCCTACCGGGGACTAAGGTTCAGGTCGGAAGTCATCGAGTTGTGGTTGAGAAATACCTCTCCGAGGGTGGTTTCGCCCATGTCTACGTCGTGCGACTCTCGCAGCCCGTCGATGGCTCCGATCGGGCAGTGTTGAAGCGGGTTGCGGTCCCCGATAAGGCTGCATTGGCGAATATGCGGACGGAGGTCGAGACAATGAAGAAACTCAAGGGACACCGGCACATCGTCAAGTACATCGATTCCCATGCGTCACAGCTGAGAGGGGGCGGGTACGAGGTGTTTTTGCTCATGGAGTTTTGCTCCGGGGGAGGTCTGATTGATTTTATGAACACACGGTTGCAGAACCGGCTGACAGAGCCGGAAATCATCAAGATCTTTTCGGATGTGGCGGAGGGGGTGGCCTGCATGCACTATCTCAAGCCCCCTTTGCTGCACCGCGATCTCAAGGTCGAGAACGTCCTCATCTCCTTCCAGGGAAATACTCCTCTCTATAAACTCTGCGACTTTGGCTCTGCGGCTCCTCCTCGTCCCGCTGCGACTTCAGCTGCTGAGGGCCGTTTGATTGAGGATGACGTTCAACGACACACGACGCTGCAGTATCGAAGCCCCGAGATGATTGATGTCTACCGCAAACAGCCGATCGACGAGAAGAGTGATATCTGGGCGCTAGGAGTTTTGTTATACAAGCTGTGCTATTACACAACTCCGTTCGAAGAGGTTGGCCAAATGGCCATTCTGAATGCGAGCTACAAATTCCATTCATATCCCCCATTCTCGGATCGTCTGAAAGCGCTCATTGGTGAGTCGCCACCTGTGTTGGATTACGCAAATACTAACAGCAATCAGCATGGATGTTGAAGGAGAATCCACAGAAGCGCCCTACTATCTATGAGGTAGTGCGCGAGGTATGCAGCATGCAAGGAAAGGAAGTTCCTATTCGCGATGTAAGCGGTCTGCTCTACAGACGGAATTGCCAGAAATCTGACGTCTTTTCTACCCTAGATATATGCCAATCGCTCCATTTCGGAATCTCGTCGTTATCAGGAACTTCCCCCTTCCCCGGTGGAAGCACCTCAAGTGGGAGCGGTCTTCTCTCCACCTATCCAGGAAACCCAAATCATTCCGGAAATTGCGCCGATGCGTCGAGGACGTCCGACCAGACCGGATCATTCTCAGCACAACTCGGCGAAACCGAGCCCTTCTCCCTTCCGCGCTAGTTCTTCCACAGACCCCTTCGCTGCTCTGGACGGCAGTGGTCACAAGTCGCGAAACTCCATCGAGGAGTTTTCGAATCGCTTCCCGTCGCTTGATCAATTCCAGATTCTGAACGAGGAAAAGGACAAGTTTGACTTTGAGCCGACTGTAGCAGAGAAGAAGTCGGAAGATGAAGATCTTGCGCGGAGACTCACGAATGCTCTTGCGGACGACGCCTTTGCGAAGCCGCAGAATGAAGAACGACCGATCAACCAGCGACCTCAGACGTCCTCAGTGGAGACAAAGCCTGTCGAGCCACCGCGACATGTCCAAGAGCAGCCGTTACAGCAGGCTCCATTGTACCAACCTGTTCCTCAGCGACCCACCATGGTGTCGACTGGCACAATGACATCGCCTCCACCCACGCCGGGAGACAAAAAACCGTCTAGTCGTAATATCTACAGATTTCCTTCGTCTGATCATCACCGCCAGCCGTCCAATCCGTCTTGGCTGGCTGAAGCGGATCAGAAGTCTGTGAGACCCAACAAGGCACCGTCGCCCCCCACCCTATCGACGAGACCGGAGCCACACCCCAAGACCTCCTTCGACAAGTTGTCCTCGCTGTCATCTGCGTCGGCACGGCCCTCGTTGGATGGGGCGCGACCGAACCTGGACGTCGATGTTCCCGTAGGCCGGTCCAAGTCGGCCAACGGCAAGGCGCGCCCGGTCTCGGTCCATACCGGATCCAGGCTGGAGTTCTCGCGGGGGTCCGAGAGCGCTCGGTCGTCTCTGGATTTGAGCAGACCGATGTACGACGGCGGCGCGCCGCTGCAGCACGCGCGCACGGACATGGACATGTCCGAACGAGCCAATATCTCGTCGGATGTGGACTTTTTGCGTGCCAGGGAAGAGGAACTCAACCGGAAGCGCGAGAAGCGGTACAGTGGCAGCCACAAGCACAGTAAGCGCACGAGTCTTTCCACGCTGTCGCTTTCTGGCACCAAGACGTTGTTTGCGGGTCGGTTCGGCGACGCTTTCCGCCGCTTCGAACAGAGCAATCAGGATAAATCGCCGTCTCCCACCGCAGACGACGCCGCGAAGCCATTGCCCTCTGTGACAACCTCGGAAGTGCCCGACTATGCGGCTGGTTCGAGTGGCGAGGAGAGCAACGAGGATATATCGCCGGAGATGCGGCGCGAGCTCGAGCGCCGGCGGCTTTCGCAGGAGGAGAAGCGAGTGGCGGCGGCAGCGGCCGAGTACCGTCGCCGGGTTGCGGAACAAGGAGAGGGAGGGGCCCGAGTGGTGGGAAGCGACGGGCCGAGGTCGTCGGCGATTAAGAACAGGGTGCAGACACTGCTCGGGCAGAGCAACAAGCCTCCACCTCAGAAGACGGCGACGGGCTACGGGCGGTACACAGACGAGTCGAGTGCTGCTGCTTTGCAGGCGAAGCAGACGGAAGGCCGACCGGAGTCGCGGCCAGGCACACGAAGCGGAGCCACGTACTTGGCTCAAGAACAGCAGACTGCGAGACCGGCGAGCGCTTCCAAGCAGGAGACCGCACGCACAGGATCGCGGCCGATGGCGCCTCCCAAACCGAAAGGGCTTCGTGTGGGTGGGCCGGACCTGGGTCGGTCCTCGGGCGAGGAGCGCAGTCCAACGGCACAGGCGACACCGAGCGACCCGGGCGAAGACTGGGAGGCCAGCTTCAGCCGACGGTTTCCCAGTCTGTCTGGACTGGAGATGGTCGAAACGGAGATTGAGATACCGAAGTTCGCAGGTCTGAGGACCAAGGAGGTGTAATTGTGCGTAGACTTGGCTTGCCTTTGGCTTTGGCATTGGCATTGGCAGTTGGCCTATGGCCTACTTAATATCATATATACATATTGAATTAAATGAACATATCAGCCTCAGACCAATAAGCATGCCATTGTCCCTGTATCTTGTATCTTTGAGTACATTGAATCAGTGGTGGTGTAGTTACCACAAAGGGTTAGTACTGCCCCGCAGTAGCTCTCCGCCTGCTGCATTACGGAGGTACAGCGAAGTCAAGTAAATCCATGTCCATCTTGAACCACCATTTACAGCAAAATGGCCCCAATCACATTAAGCACAGTTGATGGTACGCTACACATCCGTATTGAAGTAACTAACTCTGACGGAGGACCAACAGACGACCTGAAGGAGGTAATCCAACACCTCTTCGAGATCCAGTCCGCCGTCCACGGCTACCTAGGCCCAGAGACTCAGACCGAGCTCGTCAGGAAAATGTATTCTTTCTTTCATCTCCTCCTCATAACAAACAGATTACTGATGCATGCTTAATGGAAACAACAGCAAAAACCTCACCCTCGCGCTCTCCACCCTCTCAACACACACCAAACCGCAGCCCCCGTCGCAAGACGAAGAACAGAAGGAAAAACAGGAAGAAAAGGACAACGACCCCCTTCTCCGCGACATCCAACTTCCCCCCGAGATAATTGACTATGTCGACGCAGCGCGTAACCCGGACATCTACACGCGGGAGTTTGTGGAGCTGGTGCAGCGCGGGAACCAGGATCTGAAGGGGAAGAAGGAGGCGTTTGCGAGTTTCCGGGATGTGCTTGCTAGGGAGATGAAGAGTGCGATGCCGGAGTGTCGGGGGGAGGTGGAGAAGGTGCTTGCTGCGACGGAGGGAGAGCCTCAAGGTCAATAAGAAACGCTAAAGGGGGTTGTTTACTTTGTTTCTTGTTTGGCTTGGGCTGAATTACGGAGTTGGGAAGTGATTGCGACAGGGATATATCATACGGTAAGGCGTTAATGGTTTTGTTTAGGCTGGAGTTTGGGCTGCTCAGTCAGGGGTAATGAAGTAAAAGCATAGAGATACCATTTGTTTAATGGAACAGCCTCCAACAACGATCTCCGGTGTTTCTCATGTTACTAGCAGTAGGAACTAAGACAGGCGAAGGATTCGGCGATCCTCGCGGAGGTTACCGTTACTGTCTTTGCCAACACTGCCAAGTTGAAGACGAGGTAGCATTGACTATCGAGCAAGGAGACATAGCATTCATTAATATTCAATATGAGTCTCCTTGCGCCGACACGTGTTGGTGATTAATGTTAAGATTGAGGTTGAGATTGAGAATGTCTCTGGTCTGGCTCAGCATGTGGAGCAAGGGATAATGATATGATCCTTAGCAGTAGGCCTGAGTATCCCTCTATGGCACTGCGGTACTGGAGAACATCTGACGATATTATTCGAGGCCTCGCCGTGTAACGTCCAGACCAGACTCCACACTACAGGCAATAAGATTAGACTTTGTATCCTCGGGGAGTTAAGGAAACGACACGGACGCTCAGCCGATGATGTCAATCATCTCAACCTTATAGTCTGGTAGAACTCAGAGTAAATCATAATAATCTCGTCCTGGAGTCCGTAGATTAGTGATAGAGAAGTGATATGCTTGTCTTAGTAGACAGAACAGGTAGACCTACCGCGCATGTAGCCTGACCAACAGCTAGGGTACAAGCAGAGGTCGGCACAAGCACACCGCATGATTCCCAGAAGTGACTAAGATGGTCCCGGGACGTTGGGCAGTTTCGACTGGTCAGGATTCAGGTTGTCGATACATAGTGTTGACCGGGAAGTTAAGCAGATGAAGTCACTCTCGCACGGTCATTTCTGTGTCCTTTGCGATGGATGATGACCCACAAGGACTAGCTTGAGGTCCACTTGACAGACAGCAACGATCAATACACCGACTCGCAGAGTTGCAATGACTGAGGTGAATCAGTCAAGACGGAGATATCCCGGAGGATTCAGGACGAGAATCAATCCTAAACTGGACTGGCTGATATCTAGTGATCAGAGACAAACCAGGGTCTTCGTGGAGAGATCCAGCACAGGTTAGTGACTTGGCAAGTATTAATGAATCAGGGGATCGACGGCGTCTATACCCAAGGGGGAGTATGCTGTCAACTGCACACGACACTATCACTCTCGCTTGCGGGTGAAGCCAAAGTCTAGTCTAGTCTTGACTCTTGAGTCTCTTTGATGTCCTGCGTATTTTTATTGCCCGAACGTTCGAGTCAATCGCCAACAACGTTGGATTGGAAATCTGCCCTTGGCTGAGTAACGCTGATCAAACTGTAAGCTGAGTCGTCACTAGGAGTGTTTCTTTCTCCCTCTGTCGATCAGGCTGGACTCATGATCTCATCTGATCTATTTTGGCTACGAACTATTGACAGTTGTGGAGACGAGAATATCCTCGGATCTTGAAGTCAAAGAGTACCTTAGTATGATAGTATCGACTTGACCAGTCATAATATTGTGCTTCGGGGTATATCGGTCTGCCGATATATCATTCCATCAATTTGTCTTTTTTATTGGTCTCATTCTTTTTGACATAGGGTCAAGATAATAAATCACCGTGACAGGGCTAATAATCATAATAATAATAATACGGTGTAGTGTACAGCCCCGGTTTCTCCCCACGTCTAAAATACTTCCACTAATAATAATAATGATGCTGTTAGTACTATTAGAGATTACTTATTAGTATATTGACCCTTCCTCACCTGATCGCTCTATTTTCATTTTTTTCCCCCCAGCTCTCTTACTCTCTTCTCTTCTACTCCTTTGGCTCAAACACGTTGCAAGTTCGACACAGCATGCCTCATACCCCCCTCGCCTAGATACAGCATGCCCCATGGGACTCGAGCTCCTGGAGATGGCATTACCGGGGGATATACAGGCGATAGCCTGGCGTTGAAAATCACCATTGCGACTCTGGCGGGAATCACCTGGTACAATGCCATCGAGCTCATCATCCTCGTCTTCGTCACCTTTAGCAAGTATCATGGCACCTACTTCTGGAGCTTGCTCATTTCCTCGTCCATTGGGCTCCTGCCCTATTCGGTCGGCTTCCTCCTCAAGTTCTTCCAGTTGACCGACCAGACCTGGCTATCCGTCACCTTCATCACCGTCGGCTGGTGGTGCATGGTCACCGGCCAGTCCATCGTCCTCTATTCGCGCCTGCACCTGGTCGTGCGCAACCCACGCATCCTGCGCCGCGTCCTCACCATGATCCTCGTCGATGCCGTCATCTTCCACGTTCCCACCACCGTGCTGACCTACGGCTCCAACATGGCCGGCCCCGTCAACGCCCCGGCCTACATCCGCGGCTACAACGTGATGGAGAAGATCCAGATGACCGGCTTCTGTATACAGGAATTCATCATCTCCGCCCTCTACATCTGGGAAACCATCCGCATGCTGCGCCTCGATCCGGACCGCGGCAAGCGCAAGATCATGTACCAGCTCGTCGCTATCAACCTCATCATCATCGTCATGGACCTCGGCCTGCTCGTCGTCGAGTACATGAACAAGTACATCATGGAAACCATGCTCAAGGGCGTCATCTACAGCATCAAACTCAAGCTCGAGTTCGCCGTCCTCGGTAAACTCGTCTACCTCGTCCACAACCACGTCTGGAAATCCGACCCCATCGGCGTCGGCATCGACAACTGCCGCCATCACCACCATATCCCTCACACCACTAGCTACTCCCACCCGGAATACCACTACCCCGACTTTGTCGACGCAACACGCGTCACTTCCGACCTCACGCACGCTATTCCCCCCGCATCATCCTCCGCAAACGCTCGCTGCCGCTCCCACCCATGGATGGACTCGGACGACATCTCCATCGCCATGTTCGAGCACTCGGAGAATGCAGCCCCCTCGCTTCCCGACCAGGGAACCGGCCACTCCGAGATCTCGCAGTCCTGGAGCGGCGAGACCCAGCGCGACGTGAGTCCGCTTGATTTTACGGGCTCATTGCATAAACAGCACAATAGTATAAGTGGGTCGGTGCCGGCGCCCGATAAACCGGGTTGAACTTTGACCTCTATTGAGCCTCGACCCTAAAAACGAATAATGAGTCACGAGTCACGTCATTCATATCATATCGTATCATATCGTCCATGGTATTCATCTCAACTACCTTATTCTAGTTGATTATATCGGATGATGCGGAGGAAATCAACAATTCATGGATACTTGATGTTCTCCACAATTACAGGGTCTGTTCCATGGTTCTTGGTTACCACGCCATCCCGACCCTGGAACCATATCCATCCACCCCTGAATACAGGTCCACAGTCTACCACACAGTGACACTGACGTAGCCAGACTATACTAGCTGAAGCAGCGTCTGGCATGTACCTACTGTACATAACATACTGAAGATAAGCTTACTTAATCTAAATCATACAATTACACAACTACAAACACAGTCAATACTCAATAGTCGATGGTAAATAGTCAACTGAACAATCATAACTCATAGCAGATAGACAATATCGAGTAGATATAGAGCGGTAGGTAGATGCAATCACAAATCATATGAGAGTCTTCATGCTCGCTTCGCTCGGCAGTCATATCTCAAAACGTCGACTCCCCTCCACAAGCCCATCGGACAATTTACTCACCCCCACCCAGACAGGAACATACTGTCTCACCTCGTCCAGCGCCGGAATCACGCCCGCTGTATTCCCATCGCTCCAGAGGCAGACTACCCGTCCACGTAGCCCTTCCCCGTCATGTTCCACCTCCACTGTCCAGGTATGTCCCCACTCTCGGCTCCAGAGCCGGATCTCCTTCGTGCCGTCCGGAGAAACATGCGGGAAGCGCGGGTCATACGCCGAGTCCGCGACCGTGAAACTTACAACAGGTCTATCGAAGACGAGTTTGCAGGCGCGGGTGTTGCGGCCGGAGATGCTGAACTGGGCTTTTGGCCCAGTGTCGGATCGGGTGATGTTGTAGGAGAGCCAGTCTTTCATCTTTGATGCTTCAGACTGAAACTGAGGCCGGGGCTGAGGCTGGACTACCTGCGGGGGAATCCCTTGCCAAGAACACTTGGGTCGGAGCAGGTCCAAATCGCAAGTGATGTTTTGGCCGGCGGCGCTGGGGAGGGAGCTAGCGACATCGTGGACGAAGGGGTAGGCACCGCTTAACGAAGCGCGATTGACGCCTGTGTCGAGGTCGACCTCCTGGATGAAGAACAGCTTGAGCCGGTTCGCGGGGGAGAAGGGAAAGGCAACGAGGTTGTAGATCAGGGTGCCGGCAAAGACGCACAGCAGGAAAAGCGGGATGTGGTGCGTGTAACGGTGGATAAACGGAAGAAGTGGCATGAACAGTAGAGTCGTGAGCGCCGCGATGGCAATGTAAATAAAGAGCGAGGAGCTGCCGTCCTGGCCGGTCTGGCGCAGGGCGGAAGTAAGCAGCAGCGCGAGAGGCCCCGCGAAGATCAGAACGACCGGCGCGGTCACAAGAAACTGCAGCACCCAAACCCACTTGGGCAGGTGGATGCTCCAGGCTTGCTCGTGGCCGTACAAGTTGGGCTGGCGCGGCTCGTCGTCGTCATCGCGAAGATAGTCGCCCGTCACCCGGACGTAGTTCGCAAAGGTGGTGCGCTGTCCGCGCAGCAAAGAGGTCGTCTCCGTGGCCTCCGCCGCGGTGCCGTCGTCATCCTCATCCTCGCCGTCTTCGACATCCTCGCCAGAGGCCGTCCCCAGCCGACTGCCGTGGCTACTGGCCCGCCGGGAGGGCAGCGCAAGCTGCGTCGCGTACTCGGACTTGCGCGGTAGAGCAAACAGCTCCAGGTACGAGATCCACGTCGCAAGGGCCGTCCCCGCAAATGCAAAAAACACAAA